AAGCATGTGCTATCTTTTGATTGAATGTTGCTGAATACGCCCAATCTGCTCATAGTGTCCGGACGAGAGTTTCTACACACTGTCAACGCCTTGATTGAAGGTGTGGGGAGGGCGGCTGCACAGCATTACGTCTGCATTAACTGCGGCGAAGACCCTTGAGCGCATGCCAAGGGAGATTTTGACCTCGTGTGCGGCTGTCAGCCTTGTTTACACCATTTCTCCACTGGTCTTTATCCCCTGTTAACCCAAATACATTAGAGTCGTCGAACTGAATAAAGTAAAGCAATTGACGGTTTGGCTCGCCCAATGCCGTCTCGGCACAATATACCACATTTTTGCCATTTAGCCCAGACCACATCGTTCACTAGCAAGCACATGCCTCAGATCCAACCTTTCCCCCATTTCCGGCCGGCCTCTTCACCCGACAAATGTATAGAGTCGCGCTGGCACCCAGACGGTGACTATCGAAAATTGTCATTTGCCGATGACAAACACCTTCTCATCAGAACGACCGAACGATGGCCCCAGGTGGTTTACCCATCTATCGCTTTAACGGATCGATCATCGCATCCACAAACGCAGCCCAGTTTGATTTTCGTACCCCGGAAGCCAGCGTAAATCCGTTGCTGCGTGAGATCGCAGGACATGGACGAAACACGATGAGAAGCTGCGTTTCCAGATTGGAGCGTGCGGTTCGCTGTGCATCGGAAGAAGGTGCTGTTCCTAGATGATACTCCGTATGAAAGCTTGGACTCGTGATGCTGCTGTTCAGTACTGTGTGAACTGTCGCACAGCGGTTGACAAGGCTCTGTGCTTGGTGAATGTAATATTTGCACCCCCTCTTTGGTGCCGCCCTCATTGCAACCTATGTCAGCTTTACACTGACCTTTGCATACGTGTCCCTTTCATCTCTTCCAACCATTCCATACTTATCTCTCCTCTTCTGAATATTTCACATTGAGTTACATTCAGTATCGAGGTTGTCACCCACAGCGTACAGCCCATCAGAAGTCGAAGGGACCATATTCACTTTCGGGCGCTCATTCGCGATCTGCTGGTGTCCAGCTTCCCCCCTATATATTCCCATTCTCATATCTGTTGCGTGATTGCCTGCTGTGGTTACCCCCTTGCATCTCATACCCCATGGCAGTTCAAACGAGACGGATGGATCGATCCTTGGAGCTCTCTGAGCGGTACTACTCCACGGATGATCCCCTCGATCGTGTAATGCGGCCTGACCCGCATGAGACGCCTGAAGAGCGATCTGCACGGCTCATGGCCGAGTTTGAAGCCAAGCAGAGGAGCGATGCCATCGATGAGTCGTTGAGGCAGGAAAAACTGGCAGCAAAGAAGAATAAGGAGGTTAAGATATTACTCCTCGGTGCGTCGACCGCGCCAACCTTGCTTTCGCTACCTCGTCGAGCTTATTCTACCTGCAGGACAGTCAGAATCCGGCAAATCCACAACTTTGAAGCAATTTCAGCTTCTGTGGGATCCTAACCTCCTCGATGCTGAACGATTATACTGGCGGCCAGTGATCTTTCTCAATCTTGTTGTTTCGATCCGCCGCATCCTTGAGTGTTTGTCACCAAGACTAGAGTCGGAGGAAGGAAGGGACGGACGACCTGGAACCGGTAATAGCACCGTTTCCGACGAAGAGACCTATTCCCGGTATGCTGAACTTAAGCTCAAATTGTCGCCTATGCTGCAGCTTGAGGGCGTCCTTCTGAATGAGTTGGGAGCTCCCGCCGAGTTCGACACCCTGAACGCATATGATCGTCCTTCAAGCCTTCCTGGTGCATCCTCTCGTAAACGCGATATTCTCGTCCACCTCGAATGGCAGCAGCGTCTCGCGAAGAGCAAAGCTACCCGTGGAAGCCGAGCGGCAGGCCTAGCTGATCGCATGGCGTTCGCTGACCCTGGTGATGCTGGCACCATTATTACCGCGTGTCGGCCAGAGCTGCAGCGATTATGGGACGATCAGTTTGTGCATGCCGCGATGGCCCGACGGAAACTGCGACTCGAAGAGAGCTCAGGCTTGTACGTATCAGAGTCACAGGACGCTGTCCCATGCGTACTGAATGGGCCCACAGCTTCGTGAACGATCTCAATCGTATTGCCCGATACGACTACATACCGACTGATGGTTAGTACCATACTTGATGTTGCACACGTCTGATGGGCCAGCAGAGGATATTCTTCGTGCTCGGGTTCGTACGCTGGGGATATCTGAGCATCGATTCACACCACCAACCACGGAGCGCGAGGTTACCGAATGGGTCATTTATGATGTTGGCGGCACGCGAAGCCAGGTACGTGTTCCTGACCATGGCCAGCTCAGAGGATGAAACTATACCCAGCGACCCAAATGGGTGTCGTACTTTGAAGATGCGCAAGCCATCATCTTCCTGGCTCCAATCTCCGCTTTTGATCAGAATCTTGCTGAAGACCGCAAAGTGAACCGGCTGGCCGATTCGCTGCAACTTTTCGAGAGCATTTGCAAACAGGAACTGCTCAAAAGTGCAAGCATTATTCTTTTCCTCAACAAGGCCGACCTCCTCAAAGCGAAGCTGCACGCCGGTGTGAAATTCAACAAATGGATTGAACGGTATGGAGATAGGCCTAATGAGTTTGAGGCGGTGGCAAATTGTGAGTTCGACCGATCCCTTTGGTACCCAGTCATTCATATCAGAATCATCTAGATTTGAAAGGAAAATTTGTCGAGCTTTACAAGTTTCACCGCACTAAGCTTTCCCCAAGGGACTCGCACGAGTTATACGTTCATTTAACCTCGGTAACTGTCAGTAAGGTTTACACGTTGAATCAACACTTTCCTGACGTTCAGCAGGATATCCGAACAACGCACGCCATATTCCGAGATGTCAAAGACACGATCGTTCGGGACTACCTTCGCAGCTCTAAAATGATTTAATGAACAACACTTTGTATGGCCTCCGACGTCCTTGTAACAAATATAAACAAGGTAACTTCAGCCAGTTGATCAAATAGTAAGTTGGCTTGTACACGTGTAATGCTCTCCGTGACGATGAGTTCTTCCTGTTGGTGATTCCTTGCTGTACCATATACCACTGCTTGGGGTTTAAACATCCTCATCACACTCAAACCGCACAATAGCACATGAATAATACATCGTGCACGAACAAACCTACACACATAGGGCTCTGAACGACAATGATCTATGCCACTATAAGAAGTCCTCGGCACGAGCACGCTTCACCCCCCTCGGACCATCTATGTCGTCTCCTTCTGATGCAGCATTTCCAAAGGGTTGCGAGTACTTGATAGCCTTTGCGCGATTCTCCTCCTGCGGTGATTCAGCATCAATGTCTATCCCAGAAAAAACACAAGTAATGCGCACCGGAGACAAGCTTGCATCCGCCCAGAGAAGCTTTGCCCCATCTTTGATTTCGGGCTGCCGAGCATATTCCACCTTCTGCATAGGGCTAAACGTAGGTGTAGATGTAGGAAGCAATGACTGGGGGGGGAGACTTCCAGACATCTGCAAACTGCCTGATGGTGGCGCAGAAAGAGCTGGAGGCAGTGGTAGACCGAGTGAAGCACTGGGAGGGCCATTCGGTGTCATCCCAGGAAGCAGTAGGCTGGGAGGTGGTATGACGCCTGGAGGAAGGAAGGAAGCAGGTGGAGCGCCATTAATGCCAGGAGCAGGGAGACTGAATGGGAAGTAAGTATCAGCTGCTCCCAAGTAAACAACTATGCTTACGGTCCAGGAACAGGAGGGAAGGGCGGCATGCCAGGTAATACGCCAGACAAAGGAGGAACAGACATTCCTGGAGGTAAGGGGAATCCCGGAGGTGGCATACCAGGTGGAAAGGGCATAGGGGGTGCTCCAAATGCAACAGGCGCGCCGACTGCGGCAGGAGCAGCCAACGCACCACCGGATGTCATGGGCACATCACCACCGGACATCAAGGCTTTATGGGCAACCAGCATCTGGGCAAGCTCTGTTTGGGTGAGAACCCGTTTGTCGATCTTTGGGCGTTTTGCCTCAGCCGGTACAGAAGTTGAGCCGGGGGCAAGACCAAACTCAGCCTCCTTTCTACGCTTGTAATCGGCGAGATCTGGGGCAGGAATGCCTTCCATGCCGAAGATTTCAACATCGTATCCATCACGTCCAGGAAGCGCGTTTTCAATCCTGCGCGAGGGTCAAGACAGGACAAGAAAGAGGGGCTTGGTCACACCTGTCAGGCTCAAGCTTGTGTACTTGCTGAATATGTACCGCAAGACCACCAGCAGTATTCAAACGACGAGGACAATGGCTGCATTTGAAGTGCTTCGCCTTTTGATGCTGCATCAAAACTGCAGGGGCCCATGAGTAATTGTGGTGTATGGAATGGGTAGAATTGCACACCTTTGACGTCTTCAAAGTCACGTTCACAGTACCAGCACCATGGTCGAATGATCTGACATATTATATCAGAAGTGATTCCTCGATCGAAGTTGAATAGACTCACCGCCATCCGCTTCTTCTTTTTCTCCTTCTTTTCTAGCTTTGTTGCCTTCTTCGGCATGATGATCGTTGACGGTGTTGGTTGAGGAGACGACACAAGTGCAAGCCCAGTGAGTCGACGTTCAATTGAGCGCTGCGGAAACAAATTGGCGACCTTTCTTCTTCGACAACCCTAACCCTACCTCTTTCAAGGCTGAACTTCCATGGTGCTGTGGAAGTCTACCGTGCGCAATACACGTCTCGTTCCTCCAGCTTCTCTTTCTTACAGAGCCATGCGCCATACTCCTCCCACGCGTTCACCTACTCCAGACGCCAAGCGAACTTGCACCGAAATTCCCAGTGACAAGGCTGGACCTTCAACGAGTTCATGGACCCGACACCCTGTCCATTATGGCAAGGGAATACATCTTGCACCTATGGTTCGCTCTGGCACCAGTAAGCACGTTGATCTTTTTACTACTTCAGCGTGTTCTTACCTTGGACTCGGAGTGCCCACAAGACTGCTAGCACTAGAAGCAGGTGCGGAGCTCGTATGGACTCCTGAGACGGTCGACAGGGCTATCATTGGATGTGAACGGAGAGTTGATCGTAAGTTCACACGTCGTTAATCTCGCTGTGCTTACCTTGCACCAGCCAAGACGGGGGTCATCACGTACATCAAATCCCACAAGCCAGTTCTGACCCTACATCCAGTTGAGCGCCCACGACTCATCTTCCAACTGGGGAGCGCGAATCCCGACCTCGCCGCTGAAGCAGCCAAAATCATTTATCAAGATGTCGCGGGCATCGATCTGAACTGCGGCTGTCCAAAACATTTTTCCGTGCACGCCGGCATGGGCGCTGGTCTACTACTGGACCCGGACAAGCTCTGTGCAATTCTACAAGCTATTCGTGCTTCCATCCCCCCAGAGGTGCCGGTCTCGTGCAAGATCCGAATGCTTCCCAGTCAGGAAGATACTTTAAGTCTTGTGCGGCAGATCGCGGACACCGGCACTATCAATTGCTTGACGGTCCATTGTCGAACCCCGCCCATGCGAGACCGGGAACCTGCAATGAAACACCGCCTAAAAGACATCGTCCAGAGCGTTGGAAAGAAGGTTGTTGTGGTCGAGAACGGGGATTGCGTCGGCTACGAGAGCGCGCAGCAGATATTGCAACAAACCACTGCAAGGGCCGTCATGATTGCCCGTGCTGCTGAAGCCAATCCCACCTGCTTCCTACCGGACGGACCAAAGGATGCTGAAACCTACCTTATTCCTAGATATGTACGCCTGGTGAGTATTTCTCTTAAAAATTTATGCTCTTTCACTCAAGAAACTTGACGGGCAAAATATTTGGACCATCACTGGTCGAACACAAAGTTCTGCTTGGCACAGTTTACATCCCCAGATCCCCACCTGGGTAAGCACGGACGACTTGAGTGGAAGAAGGCGATCAACGGAGCCAAATCCTACGAAGAACTCAGGCTCCTGTGGGGCAAGGAAGCTGGTTTCTTCGAAGGTGGGGAAGAAATCCTGGCAGGGATTCAGCATGCCCTCCGTGCACGAGGGCGATCTGCACCTGAGTTGGGAGTGCTCTCCACCCCAGGGCCGGCGCTTTCACAACAAAGCGCGTCATCTGTGATAGATCCGGCTCCGCCAGATCCCATTCTGGTACGAGAGATCCAAGCAGTTGTGTAGCGTACAGCATTCTTCGATGTGAGAGAGCTCACTCATCTCACCCATTGTAACAATGATGTACTAAGCTGGTAAATGGCAATGACGGTATCTTACACACATGTTTATGTTATAACTGTGTGAACTCTGTGTTGAATTCTGCCTGTGACACCCGCCCTTTCCTGACCTTCTTCGCCAGTCTCTGTTCCTTCTGGAGTTCTTTCCAATCCTCCCCGTCATCGCTGTCGTCATCATTGCCAGTCAAAGCAGATGCTGGCGTAGTGGCCGTCTTCTTCTCCCACTCCTTCTTTCGTTTCTTCTTGTCGCGCCGCAGTTCGCGCAGCGCTCGGTGTTTTGTCTTGTCCGACCATGCCCCATTCTTGGCCTTCTGCGCAACCTTCGCCTGCTTCCTCAGCTCTCTCTCCGCAGTGGCTGCTTCCGTCTTGCCTTGTTCCAGGCCCGCTTGTCTCTGCTTTTCCCGCAGGGGGTCCACATAAGCATATTTGTCCCAGTCCAGAACCGCCTCGACCCAGACACCAACGTTGGGAGACGGAGACTTTGCCAGTTCAGGCATTCTTGGCAGTCTCAGTAGACCAAAAGCAGCCGCAACCTCAGCTAAAGGAAGATCCTTGATTTGAAATATGTAGCTGGCTTCGTGCTTGGAATATGCTTGTACGAACGAAACGAAAGCCTTCATTGCCTACATGTCTTAGTCCGCGATGGGGTGGAATTAGGTTGGAATGGCTTTACCTTGTCGTGAAGGGCACGATCCTCCATGGCCAAGTGCCGTATCTCAGCAAGAAGCTGAGCTGCGGCTGGGTCGGGGTGGATGAGACCGTTGGATAAAGCTCTCGTGATGTACAGTTCCTCGACTAGCGGTATTTGCCGGATACTAAGAAAATCTGAATGGTCGTCTGAGCATTGATTATGTTTCGCTGATAAAACACTTACCAACATAGTCCTCTTCATGACCCTCACACAGTAATACGACAGCAGTTCCCTGCTTCCCAGCTCGAGCAGTTCGGCCGCACCGATGACTAAACTGCTTGGGATCTTGAGGGGGGTCATATTGCACGACAACATCCACGTCGGGCAGGTCAAGACCGCGTGCAGCAACGTCAGTACAAAGGAGGAGGGCGGGATTTTCCGATGTGGAAGGGTGTACCACAAATTGGGCGAGGGTAGCTGTGCGCTTTGCAGGTGGAAGATGACCATGCAGCGATGAGATGGAAAAGTTTGACAAGGTGGGAAGTTGTTTGAACACCTATTACAGTTGTCAGACGACGGTTGAGTAGCCAAACATATGATGAAACGCACTTGGTAGAAATACTCTACGCAAGCACATGTCGAGAAGTACGCGATGAAACGAGCAGCGCCCTCTGAGCGCCTCTTCTCGAGGACACGGCCGAATTGAACAGTCTTTTCTGACGGAAGGCAACGGATATAAAGGTTCCGCAGTGTTGCCGGGGTGCGCTTCTCCGTTTCAGACTTATCAGGAGCTTCGTCTTCGCGACGTCGCTTTAAGCCTCGCTTCTTATTTTCGACCTTGACAACAACTCGAACAGGGTTTCTCAGACCTACTCGGACAAGCTCGGACAAAGCATCGGTCATTGTTGCACTGAAAAGGCCTGTTCTGCGCTGCTTCGGGAGGTGATTCAAGATGCGAGTCAGAGTTACTGAGAAGCCGAGATCAAGTAACCTGGATGCCAGCTGTCAGATTGACGGGATGACCACCATATAAGTAGTTGTGTGCCCACCTATCGGCCTCATCCAGCACGAGGATGTCCAGCTCTTTCGTCGACACACTATTTTGTCCCTTTCCCAAAAGAAACTCCTCTACTCGGCCAGGGGTTCCCACGACAATGTCGGCCCCAGTTTCGAGAAGCCGTGAAACGTCCTGATGTGGGGTGGAGTCCGATCCTGACACAAGGAGAAGTGGAGGAGGGTACTTTAGAGGGGCAGGTTCCGTGGAATCCTCGTCTGCCTCGGCCGAGCTGGGTTGAGAGGCGAGGAACAGCGAGAACACGGAGTGAATCTGCGCTGCGAGCTCTCTACGCGAAGGAGTCAGGGAAGGGCTAGTTATAAAAGGATAAAAGTGCACCTTGTGGGTGATATGACCAGTGCACCAACCTCATTCTTCCTCAGCCGGATTTCCCGTCGAATGAGCTTCTCAATGATTGGGATGACGAAAGCGAGTGTCTTCCCTGACCCGGTAACGGCCTAGAATGTGAGTCAGCATGGTCGAAGTATATGTGGATATTGCATACGCACCTCCACTACGACGTCCTTGTGTTTCATGAAGAGTGGGATAGTGCTGGCCTGTACGGGTGTCATCTGAGTAAAACCCATTGAACTGACGACATCCGTGCTGGGTGCATGATTGTGAGAGAAGAATGAATGACAGAATAGGATACGTACATCCATGGGGTGAGGGATGGTTGTATATTTGACCATTTCCCTGCGAAGGAGGGTGCTGCCTCCAACGCTGCAGACATAGAGGAAGTGAGGGATTGAATGAGGTTAGGGGCCGGGGTTATGTGTTTTTTTAAAGGGGGATTGTAGGCGTGTGTGTGGGGTGCCAATGAAAAGTCCAGGCTTTGTTCAGGGACGCATGTGAAATTGTCACGTGCTCAATGTAAAAGAAAAGGATCCGAAATCGAAGACCCTGACTATCACCAAAGGAAGGCGGACCCGGCAAGGTGGGAATGGGAGTGGAAATGGGCAAAAAGGGTGGCAGGGCACACCCATCTCTCCTCCTTCTTCTCATCCAATCCGTCACTTACCTTCACCATCCCTCGCACCTCATATTTACCCCGTCAATCCCGCACTTCTCACTTCAGCCCCACCGCACACACCTTGAACTCGCTCAACCACATCCGGTGTCTGCCCCTTTTCTCATTAGCGCGTATATATCACGCCACCAACCACCAAGTCATATCTTCACCTCCTGTTCCTTGCCGGATTTCCCTATTTGATGGAGCTCTCATAACCCTGACCTTTCCCCTGGCATAACTGAGTCCAGAGGCCTTTCGCCACTTCGTTTCCCTTTGTCTCTTCCCCCCCCCCCCCTCACACCATGTCGTCTGCCAGTCGTGAGATCTCTCAGCGAAACGCCCTCCCATCTTCACGTCTGCTCGAAATTCTCAACTATCGGAACCGCACAAGCCCCGTCCATGCCCCCTACGGCCAAGGAAGGTCGGTACTGGCACTGTGAGTGTTCGTGTTCACCCGCAAGTTAATTGGCTTATCTAGTCGCAGGACACAGCACTTATCGCCACGCACCTTTACCACTGAAGCTACTCCTGGCCAGGAAGCTATCCTCCTCCATGACGCACTCTGGGAGCTGAACCGCCAAATCGAAGCAGTAACCATCGTCCGGGAGACCATGCTGCGGGAAGTGCAACTCCTACAGCAAACCCTCGCAGCCCACCGCAGTGCATTCCGCCGTATTCCGAACGAAATCCTCCTGCATATATTCAGTTATGTCGTCGATCAGCCCCCGGATCCCTTCGCGCCTAGCACACTGTGCTGTGTCTGCAGGGAGTGGCACAAGCTTGTGCTGAACGCCCGTGAACTCTGGACCCGGATCACCTTCGAGCTGCCCAACCGCCGAAGTAGGAGTGACCCATACTTCGACATGATTTCGACTGCCAGGGCCTATCTCACGCGGTCTGATCCTCTACCGGTTTCGGTATACATCGTATCTCAGCTTCAGCAGCCGAACGCAGACGAAGTTGCTCTGCCACTCTCTATCCTTTCCAACAACTTCGGACGTTGCGCGAAGCTGTACGTGTTCTATGATACGCTGGAGCCTATGTATGCCACACTCGACGCTCTTACTCGCTTCCCGCCAGCAACGCTGCTCGACACGTTATCACTCACTGTGGGGCATCATAAGCCGGAACGTCTGGAATACATTGCAGTTGATCGCCGGACCGAGCCATACGCATTCTTTTCAGGTCATGCCCCAAAATTAAAGCACGTTGAATTAAACGGCATTGCGGTCCCGTGGCAAGGACCAGCGGCCGCATTAACTGGTCTTGAAGAATTACGATTAGCCAAACAACCCCGGGAGGAAAGGCCATCTCTGCAAGAGTTCCTGCAGCTTCTCAAGGCTTCCCCAAATCTCGAACGCCTGTGGATATTTCGCTCTGGCCCTCGATGGGGTGACGGCGAGTGTGAGGACGTTCAGCTTTGCCAACTGACAGTCCTCAGACTGGTTGACGTCGCGCCCGAGATCACCGAGTGTGTAATGCCCTACATCGCGATGCCTTGCCTCGAGGCGCTGCAACTTTCATTTTACGATCATCGTTCCGGTCAACGTCTAAACTCTTCCGCCGTTCTCAAAACGCTTTCTGGAACGAAGAATTGGCTGCTAAAAAGCCTTCGACTAGAAAATGCTATGTTCAGGACGACTGCGCTCGTCTCCTTCTTGATCGAGAGGGGTAAAGACCTGCGCGAGATATACCTGTATTCAACGAGCGCCGACGACCAGTTGCTCGATATTCTGACGCCCTCTGCGAACACCGTGTGTCCGCAGCTCATGAGTCTTACGCTGGAGAGATGTGATGACGTATCCGACTGCGGACTGCGGATCTTCTGGAAACAGAGAAAGGAAGGAGGTGTCCTGCAGAGGCTACACGTAGTGAACTGCGGAGGACTGAACCTCACGTATGGATAGGAGGAATGGTGGATTCGTTCCGAGTGCCGGAGCTTGTACATGTAATTCTCCTCTCGGTCTGAAAACATTTGTACAGTTTCATAATTACAATGCATATCTCACGGCCTTATCCCCTGGATGCTAGCTGGATCTAAGGTGCAGAGTAGATGGGGTGGTTATGAATGAGAACAAGCGCTAAAAGTATGTGGCGATGCAGAAGCATTCTACCCTTGAGGAGCAGACGCGACGTCTTTTTGCTCTCCCAGTCGCCTCACGTGTGCGAACGTTCTGCGTACCTCTCTCCTTAACATCTTTCCTCGTCGTCCCCTAATCCAACAGAGATGGCCATGCTACCGCCGGGCACGACGCCCGTATTTGTTATGAGTGCGTTGAAGACTGCATATGGCTTTGTTGCAGGTTACTGAGGTTATGACTAGACGCTGCGCCTGAACGACAGAGCGGTCGGAAGGCACAAATTTCCAACATCACAGCTGCCAAGGTTTGTGGATGTCAGAACACATGATGATCCTTTTACTCACAAAATGAGTGCATAGACTGTTGCAGACGTGATCCGGACATGTCTGGGTCCAAAGGCAATGCTCAAGATGATTCTCGATCCGATGGGCGGTATCCTGTGCGTCTAATTTGTCCCATACCTATACGTCCGTCTAATATGGTGCCTGTAGGTTGACAAATGATGGGAATGCTATTTTACGAGAGATTGATGTTGCTCACCCGGCTGCGAAGAACATGATTGAGCTCAGCCGGACACAGGATGAGGAGGTTGGTGATGGAACCACAAGTGTCATTATCTTAGGTTCGCTCTACTCTGTGCATTCGCCTAGAACATACACTAAATCCACACCAGCTGGAGAGATCCTCGCCCTGTCGCTCCCTTTGCTTGAACGGAACATCCATCCTGTCGTCATCATCTCTGCCTTCAACCGTGCCCTCAAGGATGCACTCAGCTTCATTGATACCATAGCACAGGCAGTAGACACATCTTCGGATGAGACCATGCTAGCGGTTATCAAGACTTCCATAGGCACCAAGTTTGTCAGTCGCTGGTCCGATCTCATGTGCAAATTGGCGTTACAATCTGTCCGTACTGTATGGACGGAGGAAGATGGTTCGAAGACCGTGGATATCAAGCGATATGTCCGCGTCGAGAAGGTACCAGGAGGCGAGATTGAGGAGAGCAAGGTTCTCGACGGTGTTATGCTGAACAAAGACGTCACCCATCCTCATATGCGACGACGAATCGAGAACCCTCGCATCATTCTACTTGACTGTAACTTGGAGTACAAAAAGGGAGAGTCCCAAACAAACATGGAGATCGTGAAGGAGGAACATTGGGCACGCGCCCAAGACATCGAGGAGAAGCAGGTGGATCTCATGTGCGAGAAGATCTTGTCCTTCAAGCCTGATCTGGTCATTACGGAGAAGGGATGCTCTGGTAAGTACCGTGACCATTCGACACAAGAGGAGACTGACTGTCTACCCAGATCGTGCACAACAAAACTTCATGCGCGCTAATGTCACTGCTCTGCGTCGCGTACGGAAGATGGACAACAACCGTATTGCTCGTGCAACTGGTGCAACAATCATCAATCGTGTTGAGGATTTGAGGGATGAAGATGTCGGCACTAAATGTGGCCTATTTCATATTGAGAAAATCGGCGACGAGTACGGTTGACCTAACTCCACGTAATAGCACTGATGGCTAATTGTACACCAGGTACTTCACCTTCCTCACTAAGTGTGAGAAGCCAAAAGCATGCACCATCCTTCTGCGTGGTCCATCCAAGGACATTCTCAATGAGATCGACCGGAATCTTGCGGATGCTATGTCTGTTGCTCGAAATGTGGCGTTCAATCCTCGTCTGGTGCCTGGGGGTGGAGCAACCGAGATGGCAATCAGCGTAGAACTCGCGAAACGCTCGAAGACTATCGAGGGTGTGGAAGGCTGGCCGTACCGGGTTGTTGCGGACGCGATGGAAGTTATCCCTCGCACATTAGTGCAGAACGCTGGCGCCAACGCGATCCGTGTATTGACAGAGCTCAGAGCCAAGCATGCGACTGGAGAGCACCTTTGGGGAATCAATGGCGAAACTGGAAAGATCGAGGATATGAAGAAGTATGGGCTAATGGAGTCGGCGAGCGTGAAGGTACACAGTTTCTTCGCATGGAAGCTGTTGGTCTGACAAGTACAATAGATTCAAACGCTCAAAACAGCCATCGAAGCTGCTCGTGTACTCCTCCGCGTGGATGATATTGTGCAGGCCAAACGGGCCGATCGGGATGCCGGGGGTCAGGCAGCCCCTCCTCCGGAAGATATGCAGGGTGCGATGGAGGGTTGACCAGGTAGTTGATAGATATACAAAGTCTGTGACTAATGCACTGGATTCTCATGAAGAAATGCTACATAACTCTAACTGTTGTCCAGGCAGAGAACCAGTATTTGTTTCAACAAAGCCAGGTTGTTGAACGATATTGATGATGACTTTCCCCAAGCAGGAGCTCTCTCGATGTCTAAATGGGCTTGATCTGGCCTCTCCTGTGCATGTCCTGGCGCTTCTCCAAATCTATTGCACCGGTGTTAGACGTGTTCAGGACAAAGGAACAGTCAACCCACCGAACGCCCACATGGCCGCTCCGATGCGATTGCTAACGCTGAATAGAATACCAACAAACGGGATACTCTCGAGCAGGGCTGCAGTGAAACCAAACGAGCGGTAATCCCACTTCCTTTCTTCCACGAAGACCGCGACCTGGTCAGGTGTCATCTTCTTTTGTCCGAAATAGGCTGCATGCAGCGTTTCGGCGGTGCCCAAGGCACGAATGGAGGCGTTGACCAGCAAGGACAGGAGAGGAGATATGGCGAGGAGGGGAAACACGATAGCTGGAGAAGATCGATACATGCGAGGAGGAACATTCCGAAGACGCCGTACCTTGCCGGAGAACGACGGCTCCGAAACGGGAGCTCGCGAAGTTGATAAACTTGAATCCGCTGCGCTGTGGGACAGGTGGTGGCTGCTTCCACTCTTCAAAGTATGCACCCCAGAATTCTACCGGCTTGTTTCGGGATGCGAGAGTGAGGTCGTATGCCTGGTCTCTAGCGATTCGCAAGTTCTTGCTCAGGAAGAAATTGAGGATGGCATCTGACTGCGTTGAGACGATGACAATTGTTGCCCCTGGTCTCAATAAGCAAACCAGGCTCGTGGTCAATGATGATATGTAGAGCATACATGTTACGGCTGAGAAGTGGATAGGGAGATTGTACCCCAGCAAAGCAGGTGTTGACATGGCAATAAACTTGGGGGTCCTGTCAAAGCAATAAGGTACTGTCAAGGTTAGGGTACTGAGAACCCACTTGACGAGAAACTATTCTACGTATGCCTTTTGGAATGGCCAAGTCGCGACTGACTAACCGATAAAATATCAACTGCGCAGATGGTTGGATTCGTGTTCGGCGTACCCAAACGGCCGCCACAACAACACCCCTCTGTACTCCATGTCTGCACTTATCCCAAACAGGCGTGCGCACTTTTGGATCAGTGATCAATCTATACACCCCCACCATACAGTAGGCGGGTGGTATATGAAGGAGATCCTGTGGCATCTTGTGTCAATTGTTATGAATGAAAGAGAGACCGCCGGATGGAAGACGCGTGGGGGAACCCTTTAGGGACACGAAGCAATGAATTGACATAGGCGGTCGTCGTCTCCTACGCTGTGGTTACTCTTTCCTCAGGTACGTCCAACAAGTACGAACGATACTTATACTTGGTCATCATCGTGGACAAGGTCAACAAACTGATGAAATGCCATCGATATTCTCTCGGGTGGTAACGCCGTCGACAGGAAACATAAGAGAAGCGGACGAACGGGCGTCCGACAACACTGCCTCGATCAACGCCGTTTCGACGAGCCCTTCCCCAAGCGCCCATAACCCCACCGTACTCGTTCAGGACGAGTTCGACGACGCCCCCCATCCACCGTCGACGCCCAGCACACCTCCGTTCAACAACGACGCCCACCTTCAGAGAGTTTCATCCATTCCTTCCACCACTTCAGGCCGGTCATTAAGAAGAGAAGCCAGCCCCTCCCCGTCCGCTTCCCGTACGTCTCTCAACCCAAACGACGATTCACCAATCAGCGCACTCTCTCAGAAGACGTCAAAGAGGCTGGCGAATCTCTTTCCGGACTCTACCAAGAAAAAGTCTGATCGCGGAACTGCGGAGGGTTGGACAGACGACAGTCCGACACCCATCCCCAATCCAGCCACAGCTCCCCTCGCAGCTGCTGGGAACAAGCTCAGCCCTTCCGCGACTTTTGTATCTCTGAGCTCTATCACATCGCGTAACTCCAAGAAATCTCGGTCGAGAGCGTCTTCAATATCAACACCCACCCCTGCGCCTGCGCTAGAGCCTCCCCCCTTACCTTCCCGTCAACGCAATCTCTCTCTCATCACCCCGACTTCCGTTCAGTCACCTTCCTTATCCTCTTCTAAGGGCAGCAACATTATGTCTGTCACAGAGGTGGCATCCCCCATTACTTCTACATTGCACTCGTCACCCTCCACGCACGCCGGGTCGCCCGGTCCACCCACCATCGCCCCCGTTATGACTGGCGGCGCACCACTCAGCCGAACTGGATCCCGTCGTTCACAGGGCTCGGCCAAAGAAAAGAAACCATGGCGTCGTTCTTCTCAGTCTTCCACCACCGCGGCAGCCAATCGACAGCGTGGAGCTTCGAACAACTCTGCCATGGGCATCGGAGCACTGGCGTCAGCCAGTTTGAACCTGTCAGCTGGGATGGGAGGCTCAGGTGCACCATCACCAGTGTCTCCCCCTACAGCTCCTCTAACTGCCTCTACAACGAACTCACCCACTGCAATCTCTTCCCCCGCCACCTCCCTAGGACCTTCATCAAGACATTTCCGGGCTCGTACCAACTCAATGTCAGGTTCAGAGGATGACGAGGACGAGCTCTCACCTGACGCACTGAGCATGGAGCTAGAGGATGAGGATATTCCGAGCATAACGGGCTTCGCAGTTGCGAGCATGAAGAGACAACAGGATTTCCATGAGCTGTTCCCAGAGGTCGGCCAGGACGACTATCTCATTGAGGGTGCGTAGTGTGTTCATTGTCTTAGCTTCCAAATGCTAACTATGTGTAGACTATGGTTGTGCCTTACAGAGAGAAATTCTCATACAAGGCAGGCTATATATCTCGGAGAATCACGTCTGCTTCCATGCCAACATCTTCGGTTGGATAACAAACGTGTGTTTACTTTGTCTGGCTCATGAATCAAAACTCATGAGCTGCAGTTCGTCATACCTTTCCACACCATCGTTCAACTTGAGAAGAAGATGACCGCATTCGTTATACCCAATGCCATTGGCATCACTGCTACCAATGACACCAAATACACTTTCGCTAGTTTTCTTTCCCGCGATACCACCTACGATGTCATGATGAACATCTGGAGACTTTCCCGCCCTGGAGCCGAAAGCGCTTCCAACAGCTACCGAGAAGGCAGTCTTCTGGAGGACCAAGACAGTGACCTCGATGGGCAGTCGATGTTCAGCAAGTCACATGGCCCTGATGAAGACCACCTGCAAACAGCGGCGGGTATACCAGTGAATCCAAATGACATACTTACTCCAACACCGGCCAATTCCAAGACTGTCGGAAATGCTGCAGTCTCCACGTCCAATCCATCGATGAACCACCATCACCACTTTGCCAGTACGAAGAGGTCGTATAGCTCGCCCAAGCCCCATAAGGTGACCCAGTGCGCATGCTCGCAGCAGGGCGAGCATTTCCCTGACACGTGTATGGATGCTGTCTTTCCCGGTACTCTGGAAAGCATATACAACCTAATGTTTGCGAGCGGTTTCGTGAAAGACTTCATGACCAGCGAACAGGGTCTAAGGGGTATGTAGATCTCATCTTCTCCATCAAGTTCTGGAACTGAACCATCGTCTCAGGCCTGCAGATATCCGACTGGAAGCCAGAGACAAGTGGATCGCATCTGCTATCCCGACAAATGACATACATTAAGCCGCTAAACGTGTCCATCGGCCCCAAGTCAACAAAGTGCGAGCTGAAGGATGAGACTATGTATGTCGATTTCGACGACTATGTCACCATGATGACGACTACCCGAACGCCGGACGTGCCAAGTGGAGGTGTGTTTGCTGTGAAGACCCGCACATGCCTGACTTGGGCCGGCACGACGAGCACGAGAGTGTTAGTGACGACGATGGTGGAGTGGACAGGCAGAAGCTTCATCAGATGTGCGCACGGATTCCTACTGGTGGCCGACCACAGCTAACTCGTTTTCAGCTATCATTGATAAGAGTGCCATTGATGGGCAGCGAGTTTATCATCGGGACCTGGAACAGGCTATGCGCAAATATATCAACGAGCATCGTGGAGAATTCGTCCCGGAAGGCCAGATAGTTCCTACCGAGCCTGCCTCTCCCGTAGAACCAGCGCAGCCACCGCTAGAAGTTCTGTCTGCACCAATTGGCGTCTCCGCGAAGGAACCGTCCACCAGTCGTGCAAAACTCGATGGCATGCGTGGCTTGCAGTGGCTTCTGGATACCGTCACTGGTGCCAGCAACGTAGCTCGACAGAGCTTCTGGGGTGCAATTGACCTCATTGGCGATATTATCGAAGACTGGAATTGGACATCTGTGCTGGCACTGGTTGTGTTCTTCCTCATTGTCAGCAATGTATGGACGTTGATGAGCCTGAGACAAGCTAGCCGAAGAGAGGAGCTTACAAAGCTGAGGCAAGCTGAGTACGGCCGAGTCGCTGGCTCGTATGGCGGTGGATCAGTGGTCCTGCCCGGAGATGAGGAAAAGGTTGTGGCAGCCAGCGTTGCGACCGAGGCTGTGAAGGTATTTCTTGAAGAGATGGTAGGTGCCTCACGCCAGGGTCAGATTGTGCTGCCTTCGGCCGGAGAGTCTCTCTCTACCAGAGAGGAGATGGATATGATCCTGAGGGCATTAGATGACATCGAGAAGCGCGTCGAGAGGATGAAGACATCCGTGAGAGAATTAGATGGAGCAGCATAGGACAATTCGATCTTTCCGTGTCACAAGAAGCAAAGTCAAATAGTTACCCTTTGGCACATATGCATGTACAATAGTAGCTTTGGCAACGGGCGCTTATATTTTCAAGGTGAATTGGTCCCTGACTTCACAGAACTTCACACATCCGACCATGACGAACACATCGCCATTCCATATCTACACACAGCTGCGGCAGATTCGGGAAAGTCTTACATCCCCCGTACCAGACCTTGATGCTCTCCTTCATCTCCTATGTCTTCCTCTTGACTTGTTAAACCTGCTTGACGATAGTCTGCGACAATATGGCAGTTCTGTTCGTCCACCGCCAGAGGTCAAGAGGACAATCCTCCTCAAATGGATCCCCTCCCTTCAGACCACTATCCTGGAACGTATTGTCGTAGACTGGTATGATGCTCTGAAACAGGAAGGGAATCTGGAACACACAATAACGCAATACTTTGTTCCAAGCCCATCATCATTCCTCGATGCTTCTCTCGTTGGGATGTCAGCGTATGACATCCTGCTGAACGCGATATCTCGCCATGGTCCTAAGAAGGAGTATCGAATATTGCCGGATGTGACAATTCATTTTATTCTCAACATGTTGAGCCGCTTGTCAGTGCAATATACATTGGACACTCTACATCAGGGAATCTTTGACAACGGCCTCGACGCGGATTCTCAAGACCTCCTGTGGAACGACTGCGTGAAGAACCTGGTTGTGGTACCTACAAAGGTCGCGAACTATATTCAGGGCAACAGTCCAGCGGTTCCTCACTCGCTATTACCATCGTGCGTAACTGGAGGACATGTGACATTTGCTTGGGTTCTTAACTTTGCGCAGAGAATACTTCGAGAAGCTCTGTCTCAGTGCAGAAACGATAATCTACCGATTATCGAAGTCCACGAATTCTCGTATGCGAATCCACTTCATTTTGACAGTTTCAGAATGACGCTCACCCTGAATAGATCAGCAGATGTCTTGTCTGATTGATTCCATGAGCTCGTTGCTCGAAAAGCTTTTACGTATCGGCCTCTTCCCGTCGGATTATCGCACTCAGCCCTATTCATTCTTCAATACTGCACTTGGCATCATAGAAAGACGCATCCTGGTAACACCGGATACCGAGGGGGGGACGCCCTCGCTGTCATACTCTTTTCTATGGCAACGGCTGATCGCTTCGTTAACCTCGATGGACTCTCAGCAAGTGATTCGATCGCTCCTTTCTTGTCTTGACCTGCCTTCCGCCCTGTCTCGTTCAACATTATCTAGGCAGACGATTAAGCGCACGGCCTATCTTCTCTGTCGCATATTTGGACCATTGTCACAAACGTCCGAGTCCGGCAAGGAACGCTGGCATAATGTGATTGGGCTGACCGTACTGTCAACCAGATCAGAATGGAACGGCGGTGTTTCACGCATTATCGCCTGCTGGGCAAGTGGACTGGCCAACGGCAGCGTGCCAGATATCAACTGTAAGTCCTGCATCGGATATGATGATCTACCCTCTGATGATCATTAGCAATGGAATGTCTCGCCGATGCTGCCCTCACGGTATGGACAGATGTCGCCTTCATCAAATACTCGAATCGTATTCGTCACGAATGTACGTGTCATCTAGCACGTTGTTTCTTTTCTTGCCCTAACGAGAATACAGACATGACTGTGATGTTTTTGCTGGCTATATCCTATCTTCCGCCCAAGTCAGACAAACTGATAAACTTATCCCTAAATCCCAAGTTTCTACAATCCATGACCGCATATATGGAACACTCTGATCCATTCATCCGTCGATTAGGGCTTCTTGTTGTGGAGGTTCTCAGTGCTGCTACAAGGGTTGAAGGAAAGGCTCTCACCTTTGGGACAGAGATGTGGGAAGGTGATGATGAAGGAAAGGAGTTCTGCCGAGAGCTACGAGCCCTGATTGTGGAACGAGATGTAGATGCCGATCTGACGTCGGAAGCCGCTGGAGAGCCTGTTGCGGAGGTCCAACAGGCGCCCTCTGTACCATTTGATGTCTCCTTGTCTCTGACAAACCCGACTCGACAACTCGAACCTGACGATTCGGACGATGACTCGTTGATGGGGTATGACTCCGTTGAGGCCTTGGTCTCCGCACCCAGTATGGAGGAGCTTGATGAAAACGAGAAAGATCCTACCCTCAACAACGGTAAAACGAAGAAAGTACCCAAGCCCGTCTATTTGGCGGACTTAGGCGCGTTTTTTCAGGATTCAAAGGACCCAGACAGGCTGCAGTTGGCACTATCGTCAGCAGTAGAACTGATACGACGCAAGAAGAATTACGGAACTGAGCTTGGTGTGTCCCAGCAGCACCTCAGGCTAACAACGTAACTGACGTCAGCCGAAGAGGAAAATGCCGTCAACCTGGTACATGCTGCTATTGCTCTACAAGACGACCAGAGCCTGCCAAACTTCGAGCAGAATAGACAAGGAATGTTGAATTCCCTTGTCGCTTGCTGCCCGAAAAAAGCAACGGTGTAAGCAGGGATGTAACGTTGGTGGAACAATGCTGATGGCAAACAGTGCTATCATCGAACAATTCTTCAACCATCAATATTCTGTTGTACAGCGATCGGCCATGCTGACAGCTTTGGTGCATGGTGCACGGGAGCTGGCCGGCCTCGGAGCAGCTTCAGAACAAGTCAGCTTTCCAGCCAAGCACGCCCAGTTGATTCTCATGGCCGAAGATGCATCCCTACAACGAGCAATCCAAGGGATTTCCGATCTGATTATTGATAAACAAGCAAGCATCGCCGAAAGCGCTCTGCCCGCAATTGCTCGAGAGAAGAAACTCCGCATTCGGAGGACACTCAATGCCGCGACCGACATCAATGCGCCACATCTTCCTTCTCCCGTGATGGCGTTCAAGGACCTCGCGGCAGAGTTCTTCATTGCGCCGTTCGTCAATCGCTTTTGGATGTACTTCCGTGATGAGCAGACTCGAGAACAGCGAAGCGCTCTGTCATCGAGTCGCTACAGAGGTGCCGCCACAGGAATGATTTTGAGTCCTTTGATGCTTGGGCAGATTCTCGCTGCTCTCGGTGTTCTGATGGATGCTGCTCGATTTTCTCCATCATATCTGGCTATTCTCGCTCCAGAAGTCCTTGAGCTAGCTGTCGCAATTGGAGCCCAGGTTGTGAACACCACTGCGCCTGCACAAGGGTCTGGCAAGCAGCCGGCCGATGTGGTCCTGTATGCCGCACATGTTGCTTTGATCATTCTGGACGCATCAGTTGAGCTGGATGCGGGTCGGACATTGGCAATGGAACACGCGGAGCTCATGCTTACCCTTGGGGACTGGGCGAAGATGCTGTTTGAGAATGAAGAGAAAGGCGTTCGTCTAGAGGGCGCGGGGAGTGTTTCAGGAGGCAAATTGGAGCGTGTATCCGCATCACTTGTGCTGAAAGTCCACAATATTCTAGACCAATGGCAACGATCTATAATTTCGGCGATGTAACTTACATTTGTGGGCATTGGCCTGCCTCCTCTATAATGCCAGATGCCTCCTCTGCACAAACCTAACCAGGCGAGCAGTGGATGTCCCGATTATAGAACCTTTGAGCGAGTTCCCTTGATTACATTGACGCATGCAAGACTACAAAGTCAGAAATACGATCAGACAAACAACTGGAAGAAGATAAACAACTGAAAGAGTCAGATAGTCATGTCATCGTCCGTATTTCCCAGTAGCGGCAGACGTGGCTCTCTGATCTGCCACTGGTACATGGGGAACAGTGATGGACATAGGGAAGGGTACGAGTGTTTGGGCCTGGATTGGTGGAACGGCGTCGCGCTTCTCGTCCACGTGTTCCAGAACGCGCTGCATGCAGCGCTGTAGGTGAGATCGGGTTACCGAATTCTGAGCGTTGTTGCGTTGTGGCGGATCCGCTTTGCTGGTCAACTGTGCCTCGATGATCCTGCCCACTTATCAGCGGAAGAAGTTCGTTCCAGATGTCGTACAACAGACCATTTCTCCCATGGAACCTCTTCCTCGTTACTCGTAAACCAGCTCTTCTTTGTTCGTTTTTCCGAGAATACAACGATCATCTACATTTCATTGTAAACAGGACTGCGGGAGATGGTTGGACCATCACTTACTTGCGCTCGAGAGTTAGCCGACGACTCGAGAGTTTTCCAAAATTGGTCAATCTTGATGTTCACGATATTATCGATTTCTGGCTCATCCACTGCAGGCTACAGCGTGGGGCATCGGTCATTTTGTCCAACAAATCATTTCAGACGGATGCGAACCAACGTCAGGTCAAATATCTCTGTTGTTCTCGGCTTGATACAACCGAAAAGTCGATGAAAGAGGATGAGGTGGAGAAGTGCACGCAGAGCCTCTTTGCCTGCTGGCCTCTCGACGACCTTGTACGAGTCTGTCATGAGGATGAATCTGAACAACACGAGAGGCGTACGAGGTCCATATTGACCGTCATGAGCATGTTCGTCTCCATTTCCAGGTAGTAAGCAAAGGGAGGTACCGAGTAGACAAGATACTGAGCGAGCGCGTGTATGTCAAAGAAACTGCGGAACAGCGGAAGACGGCGGAGTCTAAGAGAGCAACCCTACTTTAGGGGGTCACCTCCCGTAGTACAGGCAGATCAGAGACCCCGGGAACCAGCGTATCCTCCTTCAACAAACGATCATGTCCACCTCAACGAGAGGGGTAGGGACGGGAGGGAAAGCAACGAAACCCACTGTCGACGAGCAGAGCGAACAAGAGAGCGGCAGTGAGCAAGGAACAACAAAGGAAGGAGAGAAAGAGATCGTAGAGGCGGCATCAGTCGGTGAGATGCCTCCTTTTCTCCCGTCGAGCGGAGACTGACGGGGTTATTTACGCTCTCTCCGGTAAGAAGAAAACCTTCAACTCCCTTCAGTCACCTACGGTCAACAAGCAGAGGAAGCCAGACGCGCTTATGCACAATATTACGCTCAGTTTGGACCAAACTCACAACACCTGGGTACAGGACCACCTCATCCTCCATGGCCATATCCTCCTCCAGGCGCCTACTATCCTCCTGCATACATCCCGGTAGCACCAGACGGAACACCCTTATATCCTTCTTTTTATGCCCCTTTCCCACCTGGAGCAAGGCCGCTGCCTGGAGGACCTATGATTGTCGCTCCGAGCGGAGTGATACCTATTGCTCCTAATGCTCAGGCTCCGCCGGAACAGCCTCGCGTAACCTCTGGATTGTCCGTGCCACAGCGACCTCGCACGACGGTCACTGATAAGATATTCATTGCATGTAGCTATTGGTCCGTCTCTTATGCTCCTTTCGCCCCTCCGATTCTTATACTGTTCTGCATGCAGTCGTCATCGCAAGCTGCGGTGCAGTGGTGATACACCAAAATGCACTGTTTGTGTGCGATACGATCAGATCTGTAACTACGATGATCACAGACGGACACGTGGACCTGGTAGGAAGTCTCTTGTTGCTCTGGGTATCGATGTTCCCCCGTCAAAGAAGCAGCCGAAGAAGAAGGCAAAGGAGGCTGCCACCACCAGCATCACATCAAGCTCTGCTCTTCTACCACCTCCTCCGCCGACCTCCAACTGCCAGGCTGTTCCTACGTTTCCCCCACCTCCGTTTCCAGCATCGTTTTCCGCAGGTTCACCTCCGGATACTGGAGTATCACCCCAAGCACTCGAAGGGAGTGCTATCACTGCCGCTGCGATCTTGAATGCGCTTCCCACTTTACAAGCTGCACTCGCACGCCAGAATATACCACCATATCCTTCCCTGTTTAGGTCAGTGTCTGGTCCTCCGCAATCCCCAACACCTTCGCCCCATCATAGCCCTCAGGACCACGCTGAGTCTTCTGTTGAGGATGTGGAACCAAAGACGACATCACCCAAGGCAAAGAAGAGGAGGGCCAAGGACGAGTCTTCCTCTAGTCCAAAGAAACGTAAACGGGGACACAAGAGCTAGTTTCCCAATCAATTGTCATAGTTTATAATGGTGCGCTAGACACCATTAGAAAGTCTAGCGAGTCTGCGTCACACGAGTCCTTGTCGGTGACCGGTGTATCATTACAATCACTGTAGTGAATTGTTTCATAACATGTTACGGTGCCATTCAATGTTAAAGAGACCCATTTCTGCTGGAGTATGAGCCCCATTGTGCTGGTCACGATCCAAGTCAATCTTCAACAAACTACTCTGCCCTCGTGCGCTGGTCGCTATAATACAGTATTACTCTTACCTCTCTTTTCGACACACAACTCTCCGCATCCATCCCTGCACCTTCCATAACAAAACCACGATCCACTACAATGTTGATGTCTTTCCACCAAATCACCCTGCTGTTATCAGTCTGCATGACTAGTATCTCGATGGCAAGAATTGTGTGCATTGTTGACACAGAACAGGGTGGACAGCCACACGTGATTTGGGGGTATGAAAACATAGTCGCGGGGTCCCTTGGGTTGCACGCCACCCAGTCGCCGCTGAGTTTACAAACGTCCTTTAGCCTCGGTTACACCACCACTGTCGAATAGTGAAGAGATGGCACCCAAACGCAAGGCCGCCGTCGTCGCCGCCGCCGCGCCTGTTGATCCCTCGCTGAGGGAGGGCGATGCGGAGGAAACATCGCCACCGGGAGCGCCCGAGGCCGTCGAAGGTGTGTTGCCGTGTCGGTTGGTTGCTTCCTTGCGCTGACCTTGCATCCGTAGCTCATCCTCCTCCGGCCCCGCTTCCGTATCCTCTTCCGCATGTCACAGACGACGAAAAGATAGCACCGACCACTGAACAGGCAATTCCTACAAACTTGTTGCAACCTCCTGCAGGCTACTACGGCATTCCTTATCCACCATGGGGATTTGCACCAATCCCATATCCCCCCGGTGCACCAGGCGCTCCCTTTCCTCCTCCGGGTTATCAGCTGCCGCCGTACTACGCAAATGGTCAACTTCCTCCAATGCCAGGCTTGATATATGGGCCGGCACCTGTCCCCGTCCCGCCACCCAAGGCTGACTCAGCCCCATCTGGGGAGGGGGATGAAGGTTATTCGGAGGCAGACGAGAACCCAAAGCCAGAGGATGACGAGGACTACAAGCCGGGGAAGAAACATCAGAGGAAATCGAAGGCTGCCCTGCCTCACGATCCTGATCACGCTCCCAAGAAAGCGAACATTGCCTGCCACTACTGGTGCGCATACAGTCCCCGTTGGCTCATATCCTAATCATCTTACTCATCATGCAGCCGCAAGCGCAAGATCAAGTGTGACGAGACCAGACCCTCTTGCTTGTCATGTGTGAGGCTCGGGCAGGACTGCTTCTACGATGATCTCCGTCGCTTCCGTGGTAAAGCCAAGTCCACTCTTGCGAAAGAGAAGAAGTCTGCGAGAATGTCTGCGAGACATAAGGCTAATTCATTCGCGAAGGAGATGCCGCAAATGAAGTTTAGCGCTCTTCCTATGCCGGGGGATCCCTCCTTGACTGAGGTGCGTCCCGCGTCTTACTCCAGCGTTAGCAAGCGTTGATCCCACTTTTACAGGCTTTGAGCCTGGCTGCGATGGGACCAATGCCTCCCGGCAACATGCCCAAGTTCATGTTCTGGAATGCGCCACCTGCTGCCAATGTCGACGCGTCTTCGACGTAGACGTATGCTCATATTGGTTATTCAGTCGTCGGACAGTGTAAGGTTGGATTTGGATGTGATCTAGGTGTTTGTGTTCCTATTATCGACCCTGTGCTTCAGGCAGGATGTCCCTACCTCTCCTTTTCGAGTGGATTGTAATTCTGTTTCGTATTATTGATGCTGCCCCAGCCATTCGCCAGCAGCAGTGTTTCACACCGATGTCAAAAACGGGTTGGTGCCGAATGGGCAGAAGCACGCCGGACCTCTTCTAACAAAGAACTCGCTCCTATTTTTCAGCCGCCTCCGGTTCCGATCCATGTTTCCTCTCCTATTGAAGACCGGCAATCGACATTCGCAGGCCGAATATATCGCATTAACTCCGTGAAGGAAGTCGAGTACATATCGGCCAACCTCAACACAGGCGCAGATCACAACATGGCTGCGTGGAGAACTCTGTCGTTGAAACCCGGAAGAACTGGTCTCACGGGACCGGATGACTTTCGGGTCGAGTCTGCCAGCAGAGACGACGGAGAGCAATGGGGCGGGAAGCGCATACTCGGAATAATGGAGAAAGAGGGTGTATCTGATGCGCTTGTTGTAGTCTCCAGATGGTAGGTGCTCAGTGCAGCTTCACAATTATGTTGATTCCTATATCTGACCGAGGGGGTGGTGACCCGATGCAAGGGAGGAGATGGAGTTGAACCGATTTTCCGTTGCCCAGCGAACATGGCGTCATAGGCAGACTGCGATTGGCGGGCAGTTCCAATGCACTTTCACCCTCACTTGCTTCTCCTGAGGACAGCACAGTACTGACTTGCTACGTTTCGCCGGTGGTCAGGTACGGGGGTGTGCTTCTGGGACCGGTGCGGTTTACGCATATCGAGGATTGTGCGCGAGAAGTGTGCCAATTCTTCAAATCGTACGAGGAGGTCGAAGAATTGATCACTCGACTGGCTGCCCTGGATAACGAACTCGCGGACCTGCGGGCGTTGCTGGCGACCGGTTCGGCTAGATCCGAGGAGGAGCCGAGCAAGTCTATTGATGCCGGAGTAATCACAACTCCGGTAGTACTGGCAAGCGAACCATCAGCTCCAAAGCCGTCGCCTCCGGATGGGACCGGAAGTAGCGAGACGGCTATGACCGCATCACCGACGAAGCGGCAAACGTCGTACGAGCGACTGTTGAAGAGCAAACCGCCTGACGTAGGCACGGCTCAGCGTCTGATAAAGGCACGGGAGAAGGCAGTCTCGAGCGTGAAGGCGGTTCTGAGCCGCGGAGGCGCCGCGGCGAGAGAGCGCATTTCCGATGAGAGAGAAGGGGAAGGAAAAGATGGGACAGGGGCCAACATCGAATCGGGATTATCCTAGTTTGTCTAGAAGCTAGCGAGCATGTACCGCCGGCTGTTGCGAGTTCTTCCGACTTCCAAACATTACCTGGATCGAGCGTATCGCCGAGCTGCGGAGGGTGTGCTGGCAAAAGAGAAGAGGGCATATCTGTGTAATCGTGGTTCTCTGCCCACATGGCAGTTTTGGGGAGACCCGTGGCCAAGGATTGAATTCAGTAAGACGGCTGATTGGCATGCTACCGCGAGAATGTGGAAGCACCCGGCGGTCGGCAGGGGGAGGATAGAATGATGAAGATAGAGGAAAAGAGGACAAAAGTCAGGGTTTTGTCCGGCTGTTTCTTTTGATCACGACTGGACCTCCGGTTATCAGTTTGACAATTCTATGATGGTCGATGGTCGGCGGTCGAGTGGGACCGAAGACGGCAAATGTGGTCCGATGGACTGGCATGTTTCTCCCGAATTGTGTCCGGCATGTTGAACGTGGTGCAGCTGTGCGAGCCGCACATGGGGTCACGGTATTCCAGAATGCGTACCGGGAGGGAAGCGAAGCGAGTTATTCCGAGGTGGGCGCATCCCCAGGAGTGGGAGTACGGACTTGGTACGGAAGGGTGAGCGGGACGGGAAATTGAGCGGGAGACCCGGGCGCACGCGGGGGTGGACCCGGAGAGACCTGTGCGGATTATTTGACTTTTTCGGCGAGTCTGTATTAGCTATTTGGCTAACAAGGTCGTGTCAGGAGATAGTGGTCAGAGGGGCGGGGAGTTGATACGGGGGGGGACATTGTCGCTGGCACTGGATTGTAACTGTTTACATGATTGTCTTTGTCAACGCCGAGTGGACGTTCCCGTGGGAAGAATTGATATTTGAGACACGGAGTGTTGATCGGTATGTTACGGATGGAACAATATGAAAAGTATTTTGAAAGTTAGAATAGATAGAAGATGATGGGTGTTGCTTCTTCGTTCTGGCCCCTTTCGTTGCGAGGGTGAAGGGCAAAGGGGCGAGTGGTAGGCTGGACTGAGATGCAGTGCCCCCTGTAGCATATGAAACACGGGATCAAAGAATGCCGGCGGCGCCCCCAGACGGGAGCAGAGATGGCTCGAGGGTTCAACCTGAGTGAGAGCGCTGGCAGGACCCCGCATCGGTGGGAAGAGAGAAGAGGGTGGCCACGGGTTTATGGTCCACAACGGAAGCCTATTAGGGTGTATACGGGGTCCTATCCCATCTCTGTGCCCCCGCAAGCGAGGCGACACAAGGACTCAGGTGGTCGCCTTGTCTCCGCCGTCTCCGAAGAGTCTAACAGTTCCGTCCCGCACGGCAATCGACTCCGGGGGAGGGTGACATCGAGTGCGCGGGTTGTGGTGGGTCACGCTTCCTTTCGCCTCTCGCCTCTCTCTCTAAAAAAGATATACATCTAGGCGTTCAACCGAGGCCGACAAACCCTTTTTACCCCGACCTTGGTCTTCTTCCCTCTCGGTTCCGCGTGCAAGAGAGCACCGCCCAGACTAACCACAGTAGTACGACACATCGGACGAATAACAACAACAACACACAACACCACAACACCCAACACATCCTCAACTTCATCCTTCTTCATCTAAAAAGGTGTGTGCTGGCTGTCATCTTCTTTTCCCCCTCTCTCCCCTCTCCCCTTCCCTTCCCTTCTCCCGTCACCCACTACATTTATTCCCGGCTACTCCTTTCCATCCCTCTCCTCTCACCCGCTCACCCTCTTCTCTCCCTCCCGTCACCCCCTGACTAAACATCGAACCTGTGCTGACTATATTCTAATGGAGGTCATCCCTCCACACAACGCTGGAGACGATCCACTCCCCCCACGCGACGCGCATCCCACCGTGTCACAAGTGGGCCAGACACCAATGACAGACATACAACACAGGTCACACGCCACAGGTGCGTACAATTTACCGCGCATATATTCCCCTTATACTCACCCTTTCCTCTGTAGACGTCCCGTCTGGACTCCTCCCGGCAGTCCCAGGCAACCCGCCGATGGACGTAGACCCCGCACTCGCGTCTGCAGGCGTCTACAACGGCACCCTCAAGCGCAAAGCAGATGACGCGCCTCCAGACGAGCGTGGGGCTCCAACTCCGCGTCTCAATATCGCCCAGGAAGGGCCCCAGCCTGCTCCTCATGCCAACATCATCAACGCGATGAACAACGGACCTGCACCTGGCGGTAACGCCGTCCCTCCGCACTCGGGGCAAGGTGCTCCCCTGATGCCACCTGGAACCCCGGGTCCGAACCATACGCACGAGGGACCAAGGACGCCCCTGCAGCGTCCCTTGCAGCCGATGTACACTACTCCCTTGTCAGACACCGAGAGACCGCTGCAGATCGAGACATCGGGCAGGAAAGTTACGATTGCTTGCGAGAACTGGTGAGCATATATCCTGCTTTTGTATGCTATGTGCATGCTAAAGAGTGCTTTCAGTCGCGCCCGCAAAACCCGTTGTGACGGTGGAATACCGTGTGCGCGTTGTGTGCGCTCACAAACAGAATGCTTGTATGACACTGAGCGCCGCCGGCGTGGCCCTCACGCAGGGTCTAGGCGCACCAAAACTGGACCATATAGCTTGGAGGATTTCCTCGAAACAAACGTGAAGCGTGCAGTGGCAGAGAGCTCCGCCAGCAAGGCAGGGCGCCAGCAGAGGCAGTACACAGGGGAATCCCCTGAGGCTTCCTTCGCTTCCGCGCCAGGCGCTTTCCCCCCGCCTTCCCCAACCAAGTCGGTCAAATCGGCAAAGGGTGCCTCGGCCAGCGAGGGCGAGACCATGCCAAACACCAGCAAAAAGGTGACATTTGCCTGTCAGGGCTGGTGAGCAGTCGAAACGCATGCATGCATCAGAATGTTGTGTTGACGGAATTTTCCATAGTCGCCAACGGAAAACGCGGTGCGACGGCTGCACCCCTTGCGCTAGTTGCGCACGCCTCAGGGCGGAATGCTTATACGACACCGAGCGGAAGCGGCGCGGTCCTCGTGTTGGCTACCGCCGTGGTGGAAAAGCCGAAGCCGTAGCGGCAGCCATTGTTTTGACAAGCCAACCCAACCTGATGGACCCTTATGCCAGCAAGTCACACGCCCCGGCGCAAGAACCGGTTCTTTGGGCTCAGCCGGAGGAGCTGCGTCCGCTTTCTCCCGAACCCCCTCCAACACAGTTCATACCGGGCCCGTCTCTAGCCAATCTTGTCGATGCGCATAGGACTGGACAGGTGCCGCCTCCCATGCCTCCGGTTGACAAGGTGAACCAGCTAGAAGGCGAGAAGGAGAAAGAAGACGAGCTCCAGGAGGAAACAGACTATGAGGGCGACGAGTCCACTGATGAGGCTGGCCACGTGGAGGGCATGTTGCCAGACATGGCTCATCCGCATGCGTCTGGTGACGACAGGCCCCGGAGGACCGTGGGATCCTGCACCATGTGGTAGGTTCACTACACTATCCAGGTTCGAATCTTCCGCTAAGATTATTACAGCCGTGTCCGCAAGGTGAAATGCGATCGTGTGCATCCGCAGTGCGGTAGTTGTTCTCAGCATGGCCAAACGTGCAGGTACGAAATGCCACCGAAGCGGCGTAAGCGTCCGCTTGTGGAGGACCCGAATCCAGGGGCCCCGCCTCCTCCCCCGCCTCCCGGTATGCAGATGCCGCCGGGAGTGGTGCCGCCGAATGTGCCGGAGCCGAACATGGAGCAGTGGGTCAACCAAGACGGTAAGGGACTGTCCACATTCAGGGGAGCCGTCGCATGTTCAATGACATTTCATGGTGTAGGTGCACATCTAAACGGACCGGTTGGGCCGCCTCTTCCTCCTCCCGGGATGATGCCACTTCCCCCACCGCTTGGACATCACGCCGTGCCCACACCTGGTGGTCCCGTGGGGTCGCCTCCCCCACCCGTGACAGCCCCATAAAAGTCTACAGATGCATAGACAGCCCTTTAGGTATCGCTATGGTAAGCTCCGTTGGTCCTTCTTTGTATATAACCATTCCCCTCGGACCCTCGGAGCTCCGCATCGTTTCCTTGTTTTGTTTTATTTTGGTCTGGGCTTGCATTTTTCCAGAAGAAGGGAGGAAGTAGGTTCGACTACTCCCACCCGTGTGCCGTGCCTGCTCGATCTGCGAGCCTGGTCGCACGTGCGCTTTTTGCCACTCAAAGTTGTACTAGTATGCCTTGTTGCTACGCATATCTTGCTTTGTGAAGGGGTCGAGGTCGCCCCATCTCCCCATGTCTCGTTAGTTCTAGCTAGGTTCTTTTTGAAAGTAATTCAAAGCGTGAAGAAGCATGATTGTGGTTGTAGTTGGAAAGTGAGTCGAGGGAGAGTTGAAATAAGAACTTGTTTTGTGTGTGTTGATTGATGTGGCTGTGTCTCTTCGGCTCCGATCGGATAAAGTGTGTTCGAGTGGATTCGATTGTGTAATGCGGCGGTTAGATAGGCCACTTTGGACCGAGGGGCGCAACACTTGTAATCCCTCTCCTCGTTGTCGTCCTCGTCTCTCCTTCTCACTCTCATCCTTACCACCATCATGGCAGAAGAGATATCCATCAACGTAAAGGGTACGTCTCATCACTCACCACTCACCACCGCAGCTCACCCCCGAACAGGGCCCAACGAGCTCAAGCTCTCAATCTCAATCTCACTCGACAAGACCGTTCTCGATCTCAAAGAATCCATCGCAGAATGCGCAGACGTCCCCGCAGCGCAACAGCGACTCATCTATTCCGGTCGTGTGTTGAAGGACGACGACGCGCTGTCTTCCTACAAACTCGCTTCGGGACATACGGTACACATGGTCAAGAGCCCGGTGAGGCGGGATGCCGAGCCTCCGCGCCAGCAGCTGCCGACGATGCAGACTGGACAGAACCCGACCGACCCGCTCACGGTGCTTAACGGACCTGCGGGCCATGGCGTCATGGCTGGTTTCAACCCGTTTGCGCAGATGGGCGTTAATCCGAACGATCCTAATATGGTGCGTCTCTCTATGTGTCATCTTTGTTCACAAGTTGATACAGTACGCTGTCTACAGATGCAGTCTATGCTCGACTCGCCCGAGTTCCTCCAGTCCATGTCCCACCTCATGTCCAATCCTCAGATCCTAGACCAAATCATCGCCTCCAACCCTCAGCTCGCGGCTATGGGTCCCCAAGTCCGGCAGGTGCTCCAGTCGGAGCAGTTCAGGCAGATGATGTCCAATCCGGATTCGATTAGGCAGATGATACAGATGCAGAGGATGCTGCAGGGCATGGGGATGAACCCTGGTATGGGCGGATTTCCCGGGATGTATGGTGCGCCAGGCGCTGCTGGGGGAGCGACGTTCCCTCCTCCGGGAGCGTTCGGCACTCCCACCACTACAGGGAGTACTGGGACTCCTGGCGCTGCTCCTGCTGCCCCTGGTGCGGGAACGACCCCCGCCGGTGGAGCTGGATCCCCACCCACAGGGACAGGCGCCGTCCCCCCCGTCACCCCCTTCGGCAACTATGGGATGGTCGATCCCAACCTGATGAACCTACTCGCAGGAGGGATGGGCGGTATGGGAGGCTTCGGCGCCCCTGCACAGCCAGCTGATACCCGGCCCCCTGAACAGCGCTACGAGGTACGCGTGCTTTTACCCCTGATCGACCTGGTGGCAATGTCTTACCCGACTGTTTCAGACTCAGCTCAGCCAGCTTCAGACGATGGGGTTCACCAACGCCCAACAGAACATACGTGCGCTCATGGCCACAGGGGGGAATGTGAACGCTGCCGTTGAGTATATACTCAATGGCGGTGGGCTCTGAGTTGAACGTTGTGCTCGAGTTACGCCCTGGTTGGATGTAGGATGTGTGGAGGACTGTAGCTGCTGTTACATGTAATGATGTACTAGTAGAGCGGATATGCCCAGAAATCAAGATGTGCCTAGAGCTCGTCGTCCTGATTTCGTCCGGTCGGTGGTTCTGAGCGGATAGGACGTGCATAGTTCTGACTCCAAAGGACACAAACACGCGCTATTGGGTTTTCAGGGGTTTTCTCATTCAAACAGCTGCAGGACGCGAATTCTTAATAAACATGATCTATACTTTGGTATTTGGAGACTCGGTGCGTCAACCCGGTTACCAGGTCCTAGTTTCGAGCAACAGGTCACCGGAGTTGTCCAGCCCTAGGCAGGCCTTGAGGAACTGTTCCAGCGCCGACCGCTGTCTTGAGAGGGCGTTGACGACTCTGTCCAAATGTCAACCTCAGTCTGAACGGAACGTAGTACGACTCACTCAGTGCCGGGCTTGACAAGCGGCGCCTTCAGCATATAGCTCAGGAGGGAGAGCACGCTATACAGCGGCATGAACTCCTCCTCTGGCGTAGTGCGGTACTGTACCCTCGTCAGAAGCTCCGCCAGCAAGCACAAGTCCATGATAAGCGGCGTCGCGAGCAACGAGTCCTCGCACTCGTTCATGATGCTGATCGTGCTCCTTCCGCCCATGAGGATCCGAGAGTAGTACTCGTCCAGTGCGCGCTTGGAGTCTCCCACCGCGGGCACGTACTTGATGACGATTATGTGGTCTGGGTGTTCTGGCTTCGCCTTAGGATCACCGGACTCCTTGGCCATCTGCGCAGCGGGCTTGTAGAGGAGGTGGTTAGCAGCGACCATATCGTCCACCACGGAGGACTTGGAGATCTCCTTGCTCTTGAACTGGGGTTCGGCCGAGAGATTGTACCCGTCGTTATTGCCCAGGTGGTTGTAGCTCGCGATGGAAAGAGGCTTGATACCCGCGTTGACGAGGAACTCTGCTAACACGGACTTCATCTTCGTCTGCCCCGACTTGAGGTCGTCGCCTGCTATGAACGCGCGGCGGGACTCAGCAAGCTGGATCAGTCCCGGAACGAAGGTGTTCTGCGGCGCTCCGTTGATGTACGGCACACCTTCGAGCACGGCGGCGACGCCGAAGAGCGTCGAGGGCGACACTTCCGGGTGGCTGGCGTCGATGCTTGCGAGCAGGGCTTCCTTCGTATCGTTCACACCGGGGATGATAGCGCTGTACCGCTCGGTGTTAGCGGACCAGAAGACGATGACCTGGTCGAGGTTATTCGCCACCTTGAACTCGCGGATGTCTTTGCGGAGGTGGTCGAGGTGATCACGCTTGCTCAAGCCGGGAATGACGTTGTCCGCCCTCTCGCCCTGGTTAGCGGCGATGAAGCTCGGGTAATAGACACTCGGTAGAGGCTTGATCCCCCGCATGAGCGGGACGAGCTGACGTTGCAGATCGTAGGGCAGCACCTCAGCCCGGCGCATGGCTTCGTCCAGAGGGAGGCTGGAGATGTCCCACCCACCGATGGTGATGTCATTCGGGTGCACCATGGGGAGAAGGTCGCACACCGGGAGGTGAAAGTCCTTCCCTGTCCCGGGATCTGTGCCGAGGCGCACCGTTGATGCACGCAGGACACTTCCGACATAGTCGGGTACTTGGATCCCCTCCTTCGTGTACCACGTAACGTGGTTCTTGTTCGCGAGGATGGTGGCCGTGAACGTCGACCCGTTGTTCCCACCCAACCCGATGATCATGATTCTTTGCTCTGGGTCAGGACTTCCTCGTGCGGGGGAGAGCAGACTCACCCGAGCTTGGGCACCTTCCTCTTAGTGCGGAATTCAAACTCCTCCTTGGTAGGCGTGACCTTGATGTCCCCGCCCTCCCGCGTCACTTGCGCACCACGGTACGTGAACTTGGCAGTGATGTGCTCCTCGGTGTAAGTAGTACGGTCCGAGTCGACGAGGACGACGGTGTCCCTCCTTTCTGCGGTTGGATGGACCGGTGGCTGGGGTGCGGTGTACGGCCCAAGCTCGGGAGCTGGACCAGTCGCATGGGGTGCCATTTTTCTCTCAGTGAATAGTTGTTTAGGTTCGAAATTGTATCGAGAGGTAAGACTGATGATTAGTGATAATGGACCCGCCCAGCTGGGGAGGTATGTTTAATTCCTCTATGAGTATTGTGGCACGAGTATAGTCCGTTTCCGAACATCCACTGTGGGGATTTGAGGTGCTGAAAAGGGTTAGTACTGTAGTACCTATGAACTTGAGGAGGCGGAGAGTAAGAGGGCAAGTCGGACAACTGTGGGAAATGGGAGGCTTTAAGTAACGGGAATGAGCGGATAAAAGGCGGGACGTCAGCCGTGCCGGGGAAGCGCCCATCGGCCGCGGGACCCGTGATGACACAACAAGGGTTTTTCCCCCTTGGCCGGCGTCGGCATTGATCAATATCCACACGGTCGGTTCACAATGACCATGAGGGGTAATCACTCTTGCCTATCACAGCACTAAATCATTTCATTGTTCACCCTACACACGTGTCACTCCGACAATGGAAGCGCAGTACATTCCATCTCCACAAGTGCATCCAAAGGCAACTCCGAAACACCCACACACGTCCGAGCAGGCACTTGCTTGAAATACTACTGCCGGTCAATATCATTCACCTCGATAACGGAAAGGCACACACCGTAGCGTACACCTCGTTCATCGGCCCGAAATCGCGTTTCATATGAGATACACGTTCACCTTGAGCACCTGATCCAGCGAGCTCCCCGCAGCGGCAAGAACCTTGATGATGTTATCCAGCAGTAATTTTGTTTGTCCTTGTACACCGTCCGGAATCTTGAACTCCTTGTCACAGCCGATCGTGCCGCTGCAGAAGATCAGCCCCGTTGCGGGGTCTTGTGTGGCGTGACCTTATGAAGTGAGTATTAATAAGTTGCTTCGATCGGTCTGGTGGAGGATGACATATAAAACACCGGCAATGTCGGTCCCGCCTCGGGCACATAGATTACTTTCTTGTTCCGTGTCATTGGGTTGTTCAAGCGTTCTGTTCAATTGATGATAATCTGGGGGTGATAGATGTTGAAATTTGGATGCTAGGACTATCCAGCGCATAGTGCCAGGAGTGGAGATTCAGATGACTTTGGCAGTCGGCCTGAGATCGGATAGACAAGGATCCTCAGTTCAGGGACTTTGTTTTCGTCTTGAACCACTTCTGTGGCCCCTGTTATCTTTCCAGCGCTCTCATGCTTGAGCATAGACCAAATCAGGCTTGAGGCGGAGAGGACGTTGACTGGACTAGTCACTGTAAAGCAATAGGTAGAGCATGTACGTGAGAGCGGGTCTCGCTACCTGCAGGTTTGGAATGGTAGCAATGGAGTGCGTGTTATTGAGGTGTATTGGCAAAACCTGTCAAGGAGTAGGGCTTGACTCAGCAACAATGAGTCGACAAGAATCCAGTCAAAGAGGCCCCAGGCTGTAGTACTTGCTACAGCATCCACAGGCCCAAAGTTAACATTGTTCTTGAAACAAGAAATGATTACCAACCCCGTGTCATCCTAATAGGATAGCACAGACAGATCAGAGGGGTGGATGTCAAGAGTGAGGTTCCAGCAGCGAACAAATCGGATTCTATTCTGCGACAATTACATCACCACGCAAAACCAGTCACATTTCCTGCTGCTCTTGTCACGTTTAGGTCCCTCTACAACACCTGTGATGTCCTTGCGACGTACACCCTGAAGTTCACCATCACCAAGCCTAACCCATACTCTCTTGTGCAACTCAGAAGCTCCCTCAGATTTTGCCGTCGTGACACCGTTGCGAGAAATGCCCGTCGCAGGATCCGAGCGGAAGGTAATCGTAGATCCTTTCTGAATGTTTCCAATCGATCAGCAATCTGAGTGTCCCAACGGATCGGAACTCACGGAAATTTTCTTGATGACCTGGCGGGCCATTAGAGCAGTCGTATCATCATCATCATCATCTACCCATCGTCGCTCAAAGCCACTGTCGGATTCCCTGTCGAACACCTCCCGACCTAACACGACTTTATCGGCGGTCACTGCTTCCAACCCTCGTTCCTGTATTGTGGAATATCCTATTGGAATCACCATCGTGACTCCAGTTATGCAGAGTGAGACGAGCAGAGTGATTCGGGTGAAGGAGAGTAGCATGTTGGCGAATGATGTTCTTGTTATGAAAGGTGCAGAGCAGAATGTGCAGCGGAGTTGCTTGTCAATGGTAGGAATGAAGCAGAGCAGCGACCAGCACCGTCTGCAGTGATATGAATAAGGAACGTAAAGTTGAACAGTGTAACCAGCACAATTGGGGTTTACTGCTGCAAAGTTGCATTTCTTTATGTACTTGGTGCCCCGCGCTCTGTGTACATGGAGTGGTGATCAACTTCTGGACACTTGCCTGAAGTAAATTGTTTCACATGCCTTGAATATATATATACGTCCCATATAGAGATATCGGCCATCTCCTTGTGGTTGCACCGCATATCGGGTGCGTCTTGTCTAAGGTAGAATAGGGCAGTCAGGGAGGTTAATAAGATCTTTTAGGTCTGAATCCGACCAGCTCATCTGGTAAGCCTAATTTGTGAATGGTTGAATATGCATTCACCGACAACGATTGAAATGGCTGTATAGATCGCCGTGTTGCTGACACCGACTCCGGCGAAGCCTTCTAGCCGTACCAGATGTTAACAACGCATTAAAATATACATATATTGCTGATCAGAAAGGCCAGCACTGGCGGGCTCGTTTACGTGTTTCCGCCAGACGGAAACTCGTCCATGACCTTCCATTTCGTTTCATTATGCGATCGGATTTTCCGGTCTGCGCTTTTCGGAGAACAGTCAGCGTGCTCCTCAGCACCGGGGGAAGGGGAGGGAAAAAAAAAAGGGGGGGGGGGGGGGCGTTTGACACAGACATACGAGAATGGATATGGCGGATTCTGTGCAAGTGCCCGTAAAGTGGGAAGAGCATCCAAGATCGCTGTGGCGGCGATACCGCTCCCTTTGAGTGCCTGAGGTGATACTCAGGTGTCTGGAGGTGAACCTGCCAAAAAAGGTGCTTAGAAAGGAGGTGGGAGAAGAGCACGAATAACGTGTGAGTGAGAGCTTTGCGGAGGAGGTGATAAAGCAGAACTGTCCCGCTGCTGTTCGCAAGCTTTTTTCGCTCCTTCTTTAGCTTGTTCTCTGGGGAGACATCGATACCGAGAGAAACAAGAGACTTCCTGTCAGGTCCGTGCGTTGGTCTGTGATCATCGTGGTTACAAAGCTGATCGTACCGCACACAGACGGTGCATTTCGGTGTATCACCGCTCTACCGCAATTTACGATGACGACTGTACGCAGATCAACATGAGAATTGCAGATGCGAAAAGAGCACAAGAGGCATACCAACTACATGCAATGAATATCTTGTCATGACGGCATTGTGAGGTCGCTACGGCACTCGCAATCCAGAGGTTACACGATGCCGTTACGGCGGAGCTCGAGTATTTGGAGTAACGGGTATCATGCGGTTGGGAGCGACATGCACAGGTACTCCAGGCAGCGGCCTTGTTCCGGGCCAGCAGGCGCATCTGTATGGATGCATCGACATTGGGAGCAGGTGTCGAATCCGAACACGAACTAGTCATGTTGCCGGGAAGCATTGGTCCTATCGCGGCCAGGCTCAATGACAGTAAAAGTGAAATTAGTCCTTGCTAAGGGTAAAGTAAGACCACGACCCACCTCAATGAACGAAGGATCCCGGGGTGTGGGAGGAGCGCTAAACTTCTTCAAACGCAAAGAAGCAACCAACGACAAGACGCATACACGCACGGAAGGAATGCTACGAGCACAAATCTGATCACGATGCATTTCGGGTATGCGCTTGATTGCTGGACAACAAAGGGATGATTTGGCCGATCCAATAACGGCAGTGAGAAGGAGTCTACAAGCGAAATGCAAGGACGCTACCTCACGCTTTGGCCAGCTAAACGCTCAAGCTATATCCTCCACATTGAGGGGTGAAGACTTCGCAAAACAGTTGAAGATTCGGAAACTGTATACAAGTGAACTCTATCAATGTAAACAAATGTGATCTCGTACCTATGAGCGAGATGTACGTTGAGGTGACATCGGAGAAGATACACCTGATTATGACCGGAATAAATAGACACGCGTCGCGAGCACGCGTCGGGACTGTTCATTATTTTTGTCGTGGCTAGGGCCCAAAGGGCATTGCACTCCTTATTCCGCGACCATCACTTTGTCCTCACCCCTAGACTGATATCTCCATCAACGAGCTGGACATCAACTCGCTACATCATGACTCAAGTGCGGCAACTGTAAATTACTGGTGAAATGGATATTGACGAAGCTGGACAGACACCGACACTCTCTGCCATACCCCAGCATATGCTCCAGGTCCCAGATGACGATCCAGGCATCCTCTCCGATGTGATGCCTAGCGCAGAACCGTCGCGTCCGGTCCGTATTCACTTTTGTAATTGGTTACTGGAGCTGATGTTCGTTCTAGGCTTCTAGCGCGCCGGAGACAGAGTCGGACCTCGAGGAGAGCGATATGGATATGGACGACCCATATGAGGCGCGCACGGCAGTTTTCTAAGCTTCAGGCCGTGCTAATGTACTTTTAATCCAGCCTAACGGTGTGATGCAGACACCTCAAAGCGCGAAAGCTCGCGCAAAGGAGGCCGCAGCGTCTGCCCGAAAAGAACGACGGCACAAGAAGAAGACGCAGGATGGTGAGCTGTCCCAACGGCGGCATGAGCTGGACAAACAGAAGGTCGCGACCGCTATGAAGCGGTACAGCTATTTGCTTGGTCAAACGGAACTATTCCAGCATTTCATGGACGCGAAGGTACATTCATGATGCGTTTGACATCCTGGGAGACGCTCATGGATTTGGTACAGAAGGCGCGCGATCCTGCGTACAATGACATCATCGAGCCAGAGAAGAAGATGAAGGGTAGAAAGGCCGCGTATGTGATGATATCCGTCAAATATATTGGTTACTGATATCAAATGCAGGGCGGTTGAACACCGGCACCGTAAGAGCGAGAAGGAAGAGGACGAGGAGTTGCTCAAGGAGAACGAGAAAGAGGATGAAGAGGATGAAGCTATCGTATTTGAATCATCTCCGCCTTGTGCGTACACGTCGACATGGTTTTCGTTTATGCGGCTGCTGACGAGTATAATCCAGATGTTACTGGCGGTACCTTGCGCGACTACCAGGTTCAGGGTCTCAATTGGATGGTGGACCTGTACCACCATGGCCTTAACGGTATCCTAGCCGATGAGATGGGCCTCGGAAAGACACTTCAGACTGTGTCCTTCCTTGGCTATCTCAAGTATTATAGGAACAAGGGAGGGCCGCACCTCGTTGTTGTGCCGAAAAGCACTTTGGACAATTGGGCGAGGGAGTTCGGGAAATGGATCCCAGACTTCAATGTTGTAGTGTTGCAGGGCACGCGGGAAGAGCGCGTATGTGACACTTCTATTTGTTCCTCCCGCAACTTTGATCTATTTGCAGGCACAAATCATACAAGAGCGCCTCCTCCCGCAGAAGTTCGAGGTCTGCGTCACCTCATACGAGATGTGTCTACGTGAGACTTCTTCATTGAGGAAGCTCTCTTTCGGTTATATCATCATTGATGAGGCTCACCGGATCAAGAACATCAACTCCATTCTCTCGCGAATTGTTCGAGAACTGGCCTCTGAAGGTCGTCTCCTGATCACTGGAACGCCCCTTCAGAACAACCTCCAGGAGCTTTTTTCACTGCTCAACTTCATCTGTCCCGAGATCTTCACAGATTATGAAGATCTGGAGAGCTTCTTGCACAAGGATATTGGCGGCGGCGGCGACGTGGAAATGGACGACGACGAAAAGAACATGCGCGTCGTGCGGGCGCTGCATAAGATCCTTCGTCCGTTCTTGCTCAGGCGTGTGAAGAGCGATGTCGAGAAAAGTTTGCTACCAAGTACGTGCTTTCAGAGAAAGCATTTAGCCAGATATGCTGAGATCTACAATAGAGAAGGAGACTAATCTCTATGTTGGCCTCACCGAAATGCAGCGCAAACTGTACCGAAGCGTCTTGGAGAAAGATATCGAGGCCGTTAGAGGCATGACTGGGAAGAAGGAAGGCAAGACACGGCTGATGAACATAGTCATGCAGTTGCGCAAGGTCACTTGCCATCCATATCTGTTTGACGGTGTGGAGCCTGGGCCACCGTACACGACTGACGTACACCTGGTCGAGAATGCTGGAAAAATGGTCATCCTCGACAAGCTGCTTCAGGCCATGAAGGCTAAAGGTTCCCGTGTGCTCATCTTCAGCCAAATGAGCCGTATGTTGGATATCTTGGAGGATTATTGCATGTTTCGTGGCTTTCGTGCGTACAACCGTTCCTAACGCCCTGATGCGTTCTCACATCAGGACAGAGTATTGCCGGATTGACGGTGGCACGGCGCACGAAGATCGCATCGCTGCTATCGACGAGTACAACAAGGAAGGCAGCGAGAAATTCGTTTTCTTGCTCACGACCCGTGCTGGCGGTCTTGGAATTAATCTCACAACTGCAGATGTTGTCATCCTCTACGACAGCGACTGGAACCCTCAAGCAGATCTGCAGGCCATGGATCGCGCCCATCGTATTGGTCAGACGAAGCAAGTTTACGTGTATCGTTTCATAACGGAAGGCAGTGTGGAGGAGCGCATGTTAGAACGTGCCGCTCAAAAGTTACGTTTGGACCAGCTCGTCATCCAGCAGCAACGAGGAGCTGCCCAACAACAGAAAGGTGAGGGGCAGTCTACATCCCATATTATTCGAATTAGACATTTCATTTATAGCTGCGAGCAAAGACGAGCTATTAGAAATGATCCATCACGGCGCCGAGAAGATTGCAAACTCTACCGATGAGTGAGTAGTCCCTATAACGTGCAGCATAGTGGCGATATACTCATTTCAATGTTTAGCATGATGGTCAACGAGGACATAGATGCCATCATCGCTCGTGGTGAAATGATGACCGCCGAACTGCAAAGCAAATATGATTCACTGAATCTGGATGAATTGACCAACTTCAAAACCGAGTCGACTGTCCAGACGTGGGAGGGTGAAAACTTCGAGGGCCGCAAATTCGCGCAGATGTCACTCAGCTGGCTGGAGCCAGAGAAACGGGCGCGCAAAGCGAATTATTCCATCGATCAATATTACAAGGAAACCATGCGCGCTGGTCCTGTTGCTCCGCCGAAGCCGAAGATGCCGAGGGCACCAAAGCAGGTTGCTATGTGAGCACGTCATGTTTTACAGAATCGAAGCTGACTCCCTCCTCAGCAATGACTACCAATTCTTCCCGCCACGGCTAGCTGAACTCTACGAGAAGGAGTCGAACTATTTCCGCAAAACTCAAGATTACAAGGTGCCTTTCCCTGAGCCAGAGAATGAGGAGGACACGCTGGAGGACAGGGAAGCACGTCGGGCAAAGGAGCAGGAGATAATTGACAATGCAGTGCCCCTGACTGAAGAGGAAAATGCCGAAAAGGATGAGCTATCGACCCATGGGTTCCAGAACTGGCAACGACGAGACTACCAAGCCTTCATTCGTGGAAGTGCTGACTTCGGTAAAGACTCCTGGGAAGAGATCGTCAATGAGATTGGGAAGGACAAGACGGTCCAGGACGTGCAGGAGTATGCAAAGGTGTTTTGGGCTCGCATCGACGAACTCGAAGACAAGGAACGTATCCTGCAACGTATCGAGGAAGGTGAACAGAAGCGGGAGAAGACCCGTTCGACGCAAGAAATCTTGGACCACAAGGTCAAGCAATACTCTTACCCCATGCAGGAGCTCGAGCTCCATTACAATGTCACGAAGGGCAAGGTCTGGAGCGAGGAGGAGGACCGTTATCTGCTTGTGCGGCTACAGCACTACAAGCTCTCGCGTGACGATGTGTTCGACCTGATCAAGAAGGACATCTCACAATTCCCGCAGTTCCGATTCGATTGGTTTATGAAGAGCCGAACATCGGCGGAGATCAGTCGCCGCTGTACCACACTATTAAATATGCTAAGGCGTGAAGTTGGCGAGGTGGCAGACGACGACGACGACGAGAAGCCTGCTAAGCAGACAAAGAAGAATGCAGACAAGGAGAATAACAAGGGGAAGGTACGTTGACCCCTTTCACATATGTCTATTTCTGATCAAGCACAGCAGAAGCGCAAGTTGGATGACATCAAAGCTGAGGATGCTCCCCCGTCGCACGCGTCGCCGGCCCCCGTGCAGTCGAATGGTATCGTGGCAAAGAAGTCGAAGAAATGAGCCTTCGCCTCAACCCTGCTTGCAAACCATTGTTCTCTGTAGTGTACATCATTGTAGGATATCTGAACGCTTGCATTACACCTTCCGTAGCTTGCACAATACTATTATGAAAACTCGAGCCCGCACGGGTCGTCATTACGGGTATTCGACGCCAGCCTTTTCCATGAGATCCTTCACTTCGGTATCTGTCATGCGTATCAGCGCCATGAATCGTTGGCCAATGCGCGGTTACTCACGGTCTGCAGTATGCTTCATTCGTGCCACAAATGTACATTGGGGTCCAGGCTCGAAGATGATCTCTCCTCCTAGCTGCTGGTTATCTCCTGCTTTGATATACGAGACGGGATGGCTGAGAGGTCCCTTCTACACGTTCCGGGCATACCTATGAGCGCTTCTCATATAAAGAGACGAATACGCATACCATTATCCCGCGGATCGCGTACGCCCATTTCCCGGCGCGTATGTAGCTCTTAGGTGCCTCACCCGGAGGGGCAGCATGGAAGGTGCGTCTCGTCATGCCCAGGGCGACGTAGAGCTCTTTTCTAGGATTGGCGTATATAGGATATCTGTACTCTGTCCTTTCTGTTCTCAAAAGTTATAAGTTAGACCGAGAAAGAAGTGATAAGAGGGGGACGGACCTCGGTATTCGGGAATCACACTCCGGTCCCCGCACCCTATGACGATAAGGCTCACGTTGGCAGCATCGAGTGCTTCCTCTCGTATGCTTCCTAGCTGGGTGACATAATCTTGACACATCTAACCATGTACTATTCAGCCATGTGGCAAAAAGAACAGAAAGGTGACGTACAGAACAGTGGAAATGCCGGACGAAGACGACGACAGTCTTTCCCGAGTCGGAGATGAGGCTGCCGAAAGGGACTGTTGACCCGTCCTCGACATCTAGGTCAATCGCTGAGGCCTTGACGAGTTCATCCGCGGTTGGAGGTGCATCTGGGGAGAATGTATCTTCAAACATCTTCTGTATGGTGAATACGGGGTAACGGTCGAGGAAGAGATGAGCGGCATTATTCGGCGCTGGCTGGAATAAATGGCTGGTCACTTGCCTTCTAATTGAAGTACTTCCCGGAACGCACTCACGCGACCGATGATTTTGTGGCTGTGTCATGTTGACAAATTTCAAGCGCCCGTGGTGGAAATCCCTCGGGACCCTGCTGGGGAGTGCCCTTTTCCTACCCTGAGGCATATTCTCATTCTGGCTTGGTTTCGCAATACCGGCAGGGCAATATTCCGCGTTCTATCTTTTCTCAATCCTATGGTCGATGTGATGCTCAGGGATGGTGGGAGTGGGAGTACTAGCAGGAAGCTGGGCGGGTATGAGTTCTATAGAGAGGTGCTGGGATCACCGAAATTTGTCGTGGCCCCGATGGTCGATCAGAGTGAACTGGTGCGTCGATCGTAAAGGGATGAAGAACCACATTTAATTATCAATAGGCTTGGCGCATACTTTCCCGGAAATATGGCGCTCAACTAGTCTACACTCCGATGATCAGCGCAAAAACGTTTGCCGTTCCCCACGCAGGCGACAAGTTCCGCAAAAAGGTATTCGACATGATACACGGCGAAGAAGGGGGTGCAGAAGACCGACCCTTGATCGTTCAGTTTTGTGCCAACGATCCTGAGGCCCTTCTCGCTGCTGCGCAGATCGTAGAGCCGTTCTGTGATGCGGTGGATATCAACTTGGGCTGTCCGCAGGATATTGCGAGGAAGGGGCGGTACGGATCATTCTTGCAGGATGACTGGGATCTTGTGTACTCTCTAAGTGAGTGAACTCCCACCTCTAACCAGTTATTCGGCTCACTCGGCGCAGTCAACATTCTGCACGAAAACCTCAGAATCCCGGTCACAGCCAAATTCCGTGTCTTGCCCAGCGTGGAGCGCACTGTCGCATACGCTCAGATGATGGAGCGAGCTGGCGCGCAAATACTTACGTGCCACGGCCGCACACGCGATCAACGAGGGCACAATTCCGGTCTCGCAGACTGGGCCCAGATCGCCGCTGTCAAGCGCGCCGTCTCCGTCCCCGTGTTCGCTAATGGCAATGTGTTGTATTGGGAGGACGTCGAGCGTTGTCTGGAGGCGACAGGCGCGGACGGAGTCATGAGTGCTGAAGGGAACTTGTACAACCCAGCCCTGTTTGCGCGTACGAACCCCGCGCACTGGACACTTGCGCTTGAATACCTGGAGATTGTGAAACAGCTAAAGACACGCACGCCGCCGAGCGCGATCAAGGGACATGTGTTTAAGCTCCTGAGACCGGCTTTGGAGGGGAATAAGGATTTGAGGAATAAGATAGGGGCGATATCGGGCAGGGGAGAGTTGGAGGACGTCGTGAAAGAGTACGAGGACGTAGTGCGAGAATTTGGGGAACGGATGGAGGTCAGCCTCTCTACCTACGTTATTAGGGTTGGATGCTGATCATGTGCAGAGAGACGCAGGCGCGGCAGGTGATGCTGAGGAAGGGAAAATAGGACCACTCCTGGATGGGAAACGGCATATCCCGCACTGGCTGGCGCAGCCTTACTTTCGCCCTGGTCCGCCACCAGCGCAACAAAAGCCAGCAGCAGTCAAGGCTCCCCCAGCGAGTGCATTGCCGCCTTTATCAACGGGCGGGGAGCAGAGTGCGTTGCCAGCGCCTCTTGCCGAGGTGGAGATGGGGCCGGACAAGCCAGAGAGGGAGGAATTGAAAAGGAAGAACAGCAGCTTGGAGGAGCGGGAAGCTAAGCGCGTGCGGGAGGTGTCGCCTGTGTAGAGTGTAGACGTGTATCTTAGACTGTCACTGCAGTAGACGTTTATATCCTGGGGACCAGAGACAGAAAGCCGGTGTTTAGAAATATGTGATCGATCAACTGACTGATTTCCCACATCACCTATTCAGTGTCCCCGTGCCGCCCCCCATCATCATGCGCCCCGGGGAATGGCGACAGCTAATCTTACATGATGCGTGGTTGTCTGGACGAGTCGGCCTTCGCCAGGACAGTCAACGGACGAGTCGATCTCGCGGGCCGGACCAATCAACTTTTCGAGTGCTGGATACTCAGCTTGAACACATCCTACAGGACTGAAGGCCTCCTTTCTCTCGTATATGTTATTGTTTCGTGTGGGTAAAACCAATACAGATGCTTTATTTTATATCTATTCCTTCATCTAGAACTTGAACACCTAGCTTCGGGTCAGCAGCATTTATCGACGTGATACTATGAGCTCACCTGGTCCTCCGTATACCCGAGATCCTTGAGCGCCCCTCCCAGTTCACCCTGCTTCATCCCCGCCTTCTTCCCAGCAACAGCAGCGACCTGTCCCGGTGGGCCACAAACAAACAACTTTGTCTTCTCGCCCAGCTCTGGCCCAGGAAGATGCTGCTTGATAAGCTCCTTGGTGACGTACCCCGTCGGTCCCGTGAATCCCTTTTCGGGCTTGTCAAGCACGTAAACGACGTTGAGCCGGTCCGGGTGTGCCTGTGCGAGCGCATCGAACTCTTCTTTCAGGAGGATGTCCTTAGCACTGACATTGGCGAAAATGAGTGTCCAGTGGGTCTTGTCCTCGGGTATGGAGAGTGAGTGCTTGAGCAGTTGGTACATGGGGGTTATCCCTGAGCCGCCGGCGATGAGGCCACATTGGGAGAACTTGTTGGGCTCGTACGCGAATTTAGGGAGAGGGCCTTTGATTGAGATCTTATCCCCAGGTTCGAGGGAGGAGAGGTAAGGCGTGAACTTGCCAGTTTCGTACTGTACAAGGATGTTAGCAGTTAAGGGGGCAAGGACGTGGGAGCGCACCTTTTTGATGAGGAAATCGACTTCGCCGACTTTTCTGCTGTCGGAGATGGGCGTGTAGGGGCGTACGACGGGGCGTCCCTTGTCGTCCTTCGGTCCTGTTTCATCGTCGGCCGCTTTGAGCAGCACGCAAGCTGCTACGGGGAGGAGCGTAGCTGTCTTCTCCGGTAGTGCGAAGACATAACGCGACGTGTTGTAGTTGTACGGCTCCTTCCGCTTGAGCTCGAACGTGCGGAACTCGTCCCTATCCAAGGCGGCTGTCGGTCCCCTCCTGCGCTCCTGGGCGTTCTTGACGGGATCCCATTGGAGTTGGCCGGTCTTTTGCCAGTAGACCCAGAGGGCGAGACCGGAGACACCGAATATGGAGAGGTAGAGTGGCCAGTTGGCGTCCTTTGGTAGTGGATCCGGCGCGGTACTGAGTGAACGACGGGTGAGGAGGGAGCGAAGAAGGGGAGGACGAAGGGGGAACATGGTGGTCGACAAGAGAGAAGGAGAGGAGTATATCGTCACTGATGGCTTTCTACATTGAGATTATTCGCTTACATAATCAGAATGCGGGATCAAATGAATATAACTTCCTGATTAGGTGATAAGGATTCGCGTCCCTTTTGTGTTGAGTGTATGCGCATATACGTTACCTTGCTATATGCGCATATATCTCACTCTCATACCATTCTATAGACAATGACGCCGCCGCCGTCTACTCAAGATAAAGCGACGTCGAACTCCAACAACACTCCCGTTCCTCCCTCTACTTTCTACGGCCATCTACCACCACCACAACGGCCAGGCACCCTGCACTCAGCATTCACTACTGTGCTGCCAAATAGTACACATCCACGAAGCACAGCGCCAAGTCCGGAAATACCACCTTACTCCCTCGCTGTTGAGCCTGTCATGCAGGACCCGGAGTACAAACCACCCGTGCTCCTGCCTTCTACGCCTTCACCCCCTCCGCCGTCACTGCTCGATGACCCAGTAGTGTACGACCAGAACAACTGGGAGTGGGGACCTCAAGACTCACCCGTCACTGGATGGCCCGAACGTGGTCCAGGCGCAGAGGATGAAGAGTGGGAGGTACGACCTAAGAGGCGCGGTAGCCTCGACTCGCTCGAAGCGGTGGGGAGGGCCTCGCCAGACCGATGGGATCTGGGAGACGCTTTCACCGCTATGGAGGAAGAACAGGCGTTGCAAGACTCGCCCTCGTCGTTGGCACCCCAGTACGGTGACGGACTGCTACAGGACAAGCTCGTACAAGACCTATGCAGTTGGAGCGGGAGGACTTATCTTCCCGCTGTCGACCCAGGACGGGACGTAGGCGAGCTGTGGAACGTCACGGTCGTACGGATACCTGACGTGCCCGTCATACATGCTGCCACTGCTCCTCCTACCCCGCTCGGGCTGAGTCACTCGGGGTCGATGACTAGTGTTGGATCAGCCGTATCTGCTGCTTCTGCACCGGCTGGGACGTCGGTTCCAACCGAGCCAGTAGGGTCTGAGAAGAGCGAGACGGACAGTGGGATGAGCGTGAGCTTCAACTCTGTCTCCACTACCCCAGCGTCGACCGATCCGCCCACACCTACTGCCACTCCCGCACCGTTCGCACCTACGCACGGACACAACCCGCCCACTCTGAGCGAGGTGCGCGCTCTCCTCCCCTACCCACTGCATCTCTGCATCCCCTTCCTTCCCTTCGCCTGGCTGCCCCTAATCGTAAAGGATAAAACACCATACCCGGACCTCCTCACTACCCCACCCATCCCGCTCCCCTCCCACCCTGAGGATCACGCAACCTGCTCCCAAACCCCCAGAAAAGCTCATCACTTTCACGTCCTCCCCCGCTCTGTGGCCCCTTCCTCCGTCCTCCGCCTCTCCCCCACTGGCCCAACACCACACGTCCTCGACCTCTGGTACTGCTGCCAATGCCCAACGCACGTTCTCGCTCCCTCCCTCGGTTCCTCACCTCCCTCCCTCCCCACCGTCATCTCCGACCGACTATGGGGCGCATTCGTCGAGGACCGCATGAACAACCCGCCCCTTGATACTCCGGGGGATGAAGCGGTGCTTCAGGCGCTGGAGGTGATGCTTAAGATGAACGAGGGGCTGCTTTGGGGCGGGAGGACGCAGTGTATCAGGGTGAGAAACCCGATGTTTAGCCGGAAAGTGGGATGGAATGATACTGTGTGAGTTCATTTTGGGGGTTCCTTCTATTTCCGTTCTGTTCCCTATTCTCTTGCGGAGGTGAAATGAACTGAAGCTGATGAATATCAAGGGCGAGTATCATGACCTCCATGGGATGGACGATTTCCTCCGAAGTAGCGTGGCTCGCCGCGCTCGGATCCTCCCCATCGTCCACGGTCCCCCATCCACCCATCGTTGACCCCGACGCGCAAGTGCTCGTCCCCCCCTCCGGGGTCTCTCAGCCCGACAGTCCGCAGAGAAAGAAACTGCTCATGGCGTGGATCGAGCTGGGCGCGTTTGCGCTCGTGTGGAGGCGTCGATATCCGGGTATCGAGACCGCGTTTAGGTTTTCTCTCGAAGTGCATGATACGAGGGAAACCTTGGAGGACATGTTGGGTGTCAACGAACGTGCGTTTTCTCTCACGTCACCCTGTGAAAAACATGTGATAACATGAATATTGGCAGTGTACATGGACGACCTACCCCGCCCTGTCCCTCAGAACAAGCGTGGGCCGTTCGAGGCCCTCGGACTTGGACCTCGTTGGTCCCCAAAGATCCTAAAGACTGCGTATAGCATGCAGTGCCGTTGTCTACTTTCCAAGCGCACCCAGTTCTTTGACTGCTTGTCGCACATATATGAGTTGACGCAGAACGATCAGGTGCGCTTCCCGTTAACTAGTGATGCCTCGTGATGGGGTAACTAAATGCTGGGCAGGTGGGCATGCTCCTAGCGGAAGAACGCAGCCGAGGGCGACACACGAGTCTCGAGCTGTCCGAAGCGTATGCTGAGCTCGGTTTCGGCGAAGACGGCGAGCTGGGCATGATTGGCGAAGATTCGGACGACAATTCTGTTTGGGAAGCATTCCTCTACCGGGTGGGACAGTGGTCCAAGCTTGGGCAGAAAGACTTCATCGGCCCATATGCGCCTCCTCCTGGCTTGCCCCCAGGGAGAGAGACCCACGGGCCTTATGCTCCCCCGCCGAGGTTTCCCCCGGGGAGAGAAGACGTGGACATGGATTCTTCTGCCAGTGCTGGGGTTGGTGTTGCCCCTTCAGATGAGCACCAGCGCGGGCGTTCCCTCACCCGCGCTGGGGCGGGAACACCTCACCCGTCTCACTCAGACTGGACCACTCGAGCACTCGCCCTTCCACGAGAAGACGTGAAACGGAATCTCAAGGCCGCTTTAGAAGTGATTGCCGAGTCACGCGGGAGCTTGGAGCTCCAGAGACGACTGAGAGGAGAAGCGGAAAACAAGTTTGGGATGGATGTTGAGACGGCTTATGCTACGCTGGGGGTTATGAAGGAGACGGATGACGAGATGGTGTTGGCCGTGTTTCAGACTAGGGTGAGGCTGCATTTCCTTCAGTTATATGCGTGCAGTGAGCTCAGAGGCATTGTGTAGTGTTCGGATTCACCAGCGATGACGGACCGTATGCTGGATGCGTTGCGCTCAATTGCCCAGGCCTGGCAGAGCTCGCGTCTCCTCCGCTTCCTGGAAACAGGTAACCCCGAGTCTGAGACTCCTGGTCATTCCACTACTTCTGTGCCCCTGGAATGGCCCCGCGGCTTGGACCAGCTGGGCAACACCTGCTACCTCAACTCTCTGTTGCAGTACTTTTATACGATCCGGGAGCTAAGAGAGAACGTGGTGGATAACTCAAAGTTGGTGGACGAGAATGAGTTGATTGAGAGTAGGGCACTGGAGACAATGAGAGTCGGTGGTCGGTTGGTTACGAAGCGTGAGATTGCCAGGAGTGCCGAGTGTTCGTTATTTTGTTCATCGGAAAATCGTGCTGACTTTTGGCTCAAGTCGTCAGACTGCTGGGAGTGTTGTTCACCCAGCTTAGCGTGGCAGAGACGCCCTCGGTAACCCCCGAACTCCAACTCGCCAAGCTAGCTCTGGTCACTTCCCAAGACGAAGAAGAGGACAAGCTGTTAAATCATGCCATTGTTGCTAGTCCTGTTGACACGCGCCAGAATACGGCCCCAAGCTCAGATGCCACTCTTGTCGACGCCCCCATGGACGTTGAGCCCATGGGACCACATTTACCTCTCGCAGACAAGTCCAGCACGACTATCCTACCCGAGGATGAGGCTGCAGCTCCGAACGGGGTGCCCACGGCGCATTCGACGCCCTCCGCTACCTCTGGTCCTGATTCAGCAGCTTCTTCTGAGCGCAAGATGTCGCCACCTGAGTGCGCACCTTCTGTGCTGGGCAAGCGGGAGCGGGACAGCAGCGTCCGTCCAACTCGATCTATGATATATTTCGGGGCCCTAGCTGACGATCCGCAAACCGTCAAATCACCCAAGCGCGCCAACACCGTGCCGCCCTCCGACATGGCGCTGGATGGAGAGTCTCGCTCTTTCAGACGTGCGATGACAGATCCAATGGACGTGGATCCAGCTGAACCCAAGCCGCGATCGGTCTCTGTTGACGTGGAGATGAAAGTGGACGGACCGCCGGAAGTAAGTCAGCAGATCAATGGGACAAACGAACCAAAGCGGCCGCCGCCGCCATTACCTCCCCGTAGCTCGACCAAGCGCGTCGAAGTGCAGTCAGACTCGTTCATGATGTTCGGTAAGCCCAGTTGTTTCATATATGTGGTTGTCTTAATGGCAATACAGGACGACAACATGACGTTTCGGAATGCATGGACAATTGCATGTTTCAGATCGAAGCCGCCCTCAAACCGGATCAAGAGGTTGCAGAAGGAAGCTTGGTCAAACGGTTAGTGTATACAGTCTGTGGTTGGCTTTATCTCATGGTGAATGGGTGCCACAGGTTATTCTACGGCAAGCTCAGGCAGCGTGTGACAAGTGATAGCTCGAGCACGGTGCACATGCGAGACGATCCGTTCGCTCATATACACGTCAATGTAGGCGACGAAGGCTTCGATCTATATGACGGATTGGGCGGCTATTTCGAGGATGAGGTGGAGTATGAAAGCCGCAAGTCCAAGATGGATGTCACGCTTGTAGAACTGCCTCAGCTTCTGCAGGTCCAATTGCAGCGTGTTCAATTCAACCGGGAGACATTTCAGGCATACAAATCCAACGCATACGTCAAGTTCGGAGAATCATTGTACCTCGATCGTTTCCTGGAATCAGCAGACCCTCAGAAGCGCGAGCATTCCAAGACTATCAGGAAGCAACTAGACGAATGTCGTAACGAGATTCGCGCATTGACTCAAGACAGCTCAGGATCATTCCTTCAAGCCATGGATTTCACGCGCAAGTTCCTTGACGAGCAGAAACAAGTGGACATACCAGCGTGGAACACTGAGGCCTCGCAGACACTGGAGAGTGAACGTCATGCGCTCAACCGACGCATTGAGGAGCTTCGCGCACGAGCTGCCTCACTGAAAGAGGAGCTGGAAGCTGTGTGGGCTGACGAGAAGGCGGCAGAATACGAGTTGTGTTCTGTCTTCATACACCGAGGCAAGCGTAAAGATTTTGGAATGCAAACTTTCTGACCGTCGTTCAGGAAACCATGCGTTCGGTCACTATTGGCTGTACTCACGTGTATTGCCTGACCATCCAGATAATTGGTATAAGTACAATGACTCGACCATCACGGCTGTGAAGAAATCAGATGTCCTCGGTGATCTAACGGGTTCTACGGCCAACCCCTACTTGGTGCGCAGTTTCTTAATAATTTGGGTACTCAGCGCCTAAGTCGAGTTTATGTAGCTGGTGTATGTCAGGAAAGGTAGCGACGCCATTCACACTGTGCATCGACTTGTGTAGCTAGCGTTATATTGGGCTGCTTGGCGAGGGCGCCTTTATGTATGGCTGTGTTACCACTCGCATGTACGCCGGTACGAGGCAATATTGCCAAGTCACGGACGCTGACGTCATTTTGGGAATGCTTCTTAAATGAGATGCTTCCTTGCTTCTTTGTCCTCGGTGGCTCAAAGTTGCGGATTTCGAGATTGCGGCCATTGTCCAGGTATACCTGCCTCGCCCAAACCATAACCGAGCTCCGTGGTTCCTGTGGGTTCCCAACCGTGGTGTGTGGACTGGCGCGTCCCACTTTCTCGGGAAAGTGTGGCGGATAATTTCGCTTGTGGTCGAAGTCTTCAATCGTTCGTCCCCTGCTCCCGCGTTCTTCCCAGTGCTCGCCTCCTCCGTCCGCAAACCATACCATTCGGGCATGTTCCGCGTTATTGATAAAAAGGATTACTCCCCGCACCAGACTCAGGGTTGCCCCGCAAACCATCCGAAGCGAGCCGCCCTCCGGAATTGGCTGCGCCCCACTCTGGCTGGTCAACTCTCCAATTGCCATCAGCAAAGTGGAAAGACTCGGTTGGATTGGGTTTGATTCTCAGAAAACGCGCGCTAGTCAAGAATCTGTCCATGCGGATATCTTGCTTTTCCGATGAGCGCTCGGAGTCCAACTTACCACTGTGGATGCACTCGGATCGGCGATGAGATTCATCACACCTGGACATATTTTCAGCTCTGTTCAATCGGTGACAGTGTTCCCAACACGATCGGTTGAGGCCTCGGTGCACTCTGCGATTGGTAAAGTTCGACGTCTGGCACTAGGTGTGTGTCAGTGTTGTCCGCTGACCACGCACAGACACGGGAGTGCTCGCCAGATCCCAGGGTCTCTCATTCCTAATCAAAATGCTTATGGTGTGGATGCTTATGGCGTGTGGCCGAGACCACACGTATAAAAGGCGTGCCATCCGGACTGTTGGTTGATGCTTGGTTCTGTGCATCCTCCTCAACTGTGTCTCGCTCTTGCTCGAAAGTCTTTGATCCCTATGAATCGGACTCACACTGACGACGTCATGGAATCCCAGCTTTATTCTCTCCTAGCGAGGCACGACCAGATCGAGTCTATCGTGCCAAACATCGACGCCGTTGTTCCTCGACTTGTCTTCGAGCTGGGCGGATACGCGTCCAGTACTAAAGCCAAAGTCAAGGTTACGGGCCTGGTTTTCATGTCTGACCTCGAATTCATTTTCGAGGGTATCAAGAAGAAGTTCGGTGGCAAGAACATCGGAGTTCCTCTTGTGGGAGGTAAGAGATCCTAGCATTCCGTGTCGCTGTTTCACCTCAGCCCGCGCCAGGAGGGTGCGCATATGGGACGCTCTACTATAACAATATACACGATCTTGAAGGAAAGTGTGAGCTGCAAATTGTTACGACTATCTTGGCTCTCAACGTCAACTTCTTGCGCTCGGGAAAAATATTTGCGATGGTAAGTAACGATTTGTCAATGGGCGGTTGAAAGCTCGCTGACTGCCTTTCTCTAGTTTATCGGTACGCTTCAGCCTTCCGAAAAACGCTGCAGACGATCTGATTTGTCGGCAGGTGTTTATCCCGGTCTCAGTGCCGCGAACGGGATATTTACCGGTCAGGGGCAATGGTTAAATGACGTCTGAACATGTAGCCGAGAGGGTTAGTCATGTCGTAGCCACATTGTTTCGTTTATGTTGTTTCATCTTGTGTATGAAGCCTGATGTGCCCCCCGCTATTTCACCGAGTATCATGCCAATAAATTTCTCCCTTCTTTCGGGAAAAAGTGGAAGAACGAGTTCGATCGGGGATAGTCTCTGGGAGGATCCAGACAACTGGGTTTCCAACCCAGAGTTTATCCGGTCCGCCGATGAAAGGAAGACATCGGAATCTCCGCTTGGAGCGCCCGTCAAAGAACAATCAGAGTAATTATGAAAGAATCGATCGATTGTTCAGCCACTGGGCGCTCCTTATGCCATCTCTTAGGTCACGGCATGTGAGCACAAATCTACAAGCATATGACTATGTTATTCGTGCACAAGGTGCAACACTCACCTCGTGGAATAAGCAAGCAGCCGACCGCAGAAGCGGCCCCGATATTCCCCGATTGGACGAGACTCCGTCGTCGGAGTGCTGGGCGTGGTTTCCCTTTTAGCGCCTGTCCAACGGGCGCTTAACTATAAAGAAAACTTCCCCAAATACTTTATTTGGTGACGAGAAAGTGCTGTTTCATAAACCGTTGCCCTCATGTGGATTTACAAGGTTGGTACTACAGCTACCGAGCACATCAAGTACGTACTCGATACAAAACCCCGAGACACTACCGGGATATCATCCGAATTTACGGTACATTATGTGATCCAATACAGTCATGTCGTTACAAGCTACAGTAAACATCCACAATCATCATAATCTTCCAACCGTCGAAGGGGGAACGACATCACACTTAGAGCAGAAGCAATTCTTCCACAGCCCTCCTGCACTCCCCCTCACCCCTCAGCCCCTTACACAAATCATGCTCCGTGCCCTTGACAATCCTCCACGCGACCTTTGCATCCCCAACCGCGCCGCTCCAGATGTCCCTCTGTACCCTCTGCCAGTTCGAGGTGTTGTCCATCCTCTCTCTGCTAGTGAGGACGATTGTAGGCGTGTGAAAGGGGTAATCAGGATAGGTGCTGTTTAGTGCAATGCTGGATAGCGAATCACGCCTGTGGGCCTGGAGTCGTTCGTCCAGGCGGACTTTTTGGAGACCATCGGCGTTCGGACCCACAGTACGCCACCAACGGGTGTTGGACGGCCTCTCACCGCGTACGAAGTCTGCTAGCCGACTCCACCCGAGCGCCGACCCTGCGTATCTCCAGAAGTCTGGGGCGCTGGAAAGTGGTGGGCCTTGATAGAAGAGGGATGGGTGCTGGGATTCGATGTACAGCACCGAATGGGTCTGCTTAGAGTAAAGCGTGGCAAAGTAGCGCGTGACGAGTCCGCCATAACCCGCGCCAATGAGCATGAATGGCCCGGATTCATCCATCCGCTTGAGAGCAGAATGTAAAGCTTCGGTGACGTGGGGCACGTCCGAGCCAGGGGAAGAGTCGGAGAATCCGTAGCCTGGGCGATCCCAGATACAAGCACGCTCGACGCCTTCTTCGGCAAGACGGAAGACCCATTCTCCTCCTAGAGTACCGGGTATGCCGGACATGGATTCGTAAAGCATCACGGGACGCTGCTTCCCAGCAGAGACAAGAGAAGGAGGAACGGTGTTGTTCCGCTGGCCGGCGCAGGCTATATGGATGTTGTATGGCCAACGGGAGGGAGGTGGTTGGACAGACACGAGCTGAGAAGTCGGATAGGGGAGGTCAAGTGTGGAGTCTGCAGCTACCACGACCAAATTGAGGGTGATCATCTGCCGTCCGCAGTCAAGACACCTTGAACCGGAATAGGAGGAAATAGCATACAAAAAGTCCGATAGCGCTCGTAAATGCCAGCATAAATTCGAGAAGAACTTTCAGAGCCTTTTTTATCCTTCCTGCCCAGTACCCGCCTTGAGTAGCAACGATCATCGCTCGGACCTCCGCTTCTTCTGGGGTCATAGCCAGTTGCGCACGGGCAGTTTCTTTGTATACCTTGTCCACATATACGTTCGCTCCGAGGGCTGTAGCTAGAGTCGCTAATATAAGCAAGATGGAACTGATGCCGAGCCAGTTCTCGCGGTGCCTCAGGGAGTTTACAGAGACGAGGAGGATGAGATCGAGGAATGCACATCCGAGGCAGAACCAGAGCACCACGCGTGTCATAATACTGGGAGTGTCGAACGTCAGGAGAGAGGAGAGAGAGAGGAGAGCGGAGATGAAGGAGAGAAGGAGGGGGGTGCTGGTCGAGCTCCGGTGAGGGGGGAGCCAGACGGAGAGTCCAGGGTGGATGAGGGCCAAGAGCAAGGATAGCAGGAGTAGCAATGACACAAAGGCGAGCAGGAACAGTAACATAAAGAGAAGCAAACGGGGAATAAACGACCGCTTGTACGGATCGGGATGCCGTTTCTGCTGTTGTTGTCGCTCTTCTTCGTTGCCTGTTGGATGTGGAGCAGGAGCAGTGGCATTGTAATGAGGTGGACGCGTGTCGGGAGGTACGAGCGCATCGATCTCGGTTGGTTGATAGTCAGACATCGTCAATGGCGGCTAGGACGATGAGGGCGACAAGATGGACGTCGAGGAGGAGCAAAGATGGTCGCATAGAAAGGGTGAGGTACGAACACAGACATCATGATCCCTGGGCGACGTCATCGGTTATCACGTGCAGTGGCAGTCCTCCCAAGTTCTGCAACAGTGATGACATTCCCATTAATACGTTGTCCCATAAAAGTCCCACTGCTTCCTATACGAAACGAGCATACGTTAGGTATCTGGGTAAAATTAACAGCGCCTGATTACCTGGGAGGCAAGAGAGACGCAGATGCAAGATTGAGCCCCGACGTGAATGCAGGAGCAATGAACTATGGAACACGAGTAAAACGAGTGAAGAGTGGGTTCGAGCGGGCCCATGCCCCGTGGAGTGAAAGAAGCTTGGTTACACAAATGAGGGTGGCGGGTGTCGATGTTTGGGGGATATCATAAGTGGGATATAACGGACCCGAGGGCCTCGGGACCGTGGGAGACCAGAAAAGAAAAGAATAGAAGCAGGCACAACGAAACATCGCAAAGTTAAACGCAGGTACAGAAATACTTTGGTGAAATTGCAGAATTGCAGAAGTTTGTCATTAGGGCGCGGCACGGTCCAGTCGGCCGCAAGAAGTCAAACAGAATAGGCAGCGGATTAACGCTGATGCTGAGAGTGGAAGAGCGAGAGGACCTTCTCCGCGCCCTGCTCTGTGATTTTCTTCACCTTGTTCAGGCTCTTGTGCTTCTCCTTACCGTTGGGTGACGTAGGCCGCTCCGAGTCGCTGAACAAGCTGTGCTCAGACGAGCCACGAGCGATAGCCCTCGAGACGCCGTCAAGCGACTCGGAGGAAACGGGGGAGTTGACACACTCTCTGGATTCCCGACTTGAGGGTGTGAGGTGGAACGACGTGGGTGGGGTAGTCCGACTCAGGCTGGGGTTGGACACGGATACGGTGGCGATGCTCGGCCGTGCCGAGGCAGAAGACAGGGACATCGACATCGAAGTCGGGTTAGGCGATTTCGGCCTAAGGAACTGGTTCGTACTCCTGCGAATACTGAGCCTGCCTCGCTTAGGCTTGCTATCCGACTGAGTGGGGGAATCCGTGCCATCGAGTCGATCTGTCGAGCCCCCGAACAAGCCACTCGAAGGCGTGCGGGAAGACTTGCCGCTATTCGGCCTCCTGAAAACGGCAAGCCGATACCGGTCGACGACGCCCCGGGCAAACAGGCTCTTCCCTTGGGTACTATTCGACTCCTCCCCATGAGGCGTCTCGACCAAATCCCAATCATCGTCATCAAAGTCGAAGACATCGTCATGCGGGATCGTACGGTCCAGAGCGGGGATTCCAGACTTTTCCTTCGGCCGGCGGGGTACGAACCGCGGATGCTTGCCAGCAGGCTTGATAGGCGTTGTAGGCGCTGTTTCCTGCTCGCGCAAGTCAGCAGCAGGGGCGAAGATCTCCACATGCCGCGTAACAGGCTTGACAGGCGAAGGCAAGCCCTCCTTAACAGGCGAAGCGGGAGTCTCGACCTTGGAAACAGGAGCTTCCAGCGCTTCGGCAATAGGAGCAGGTATCTCCACCACCGGGGCTTCAGCAGGGGAGACAGTCGCCGTCGTCTCGCCCGACAAATCCTGTGCCAGCAGCATAGGCTCAACTACCAAGTCCTTGGTCAAGTCTACCGCCTCCGCCTCAGTCTCCGGCTTGACTGTTTCCTGAACCGGAGAGACCTCGAGCGAGGTAGGCGCGATCGACTCGATAAACCTCGAGTCATCCGTGTTAGTCCCGCTCGAGCGAATACCGGAAGAAGACGTCGTCTCCTCCTCTTGTGGCCTAGCGGCTTGCTCAGGCTCTTCCTCAACTTCGTCCATATCGAGGATGATCGAGTGCCTAGCCTTATACGAATACCCATCAAACACGTCCGGTTCTTCCTCCCCATCCGCGGCGGAGGACTCGACCCCCGCCGTCCGGACCGAAGAAGTCTCGGTATCGTTCGTGTCCGTGGTAGCACCATCATGGCGTTCCCGTTCAGACTCTTCGGGCTCGTCGTGGATGACAGGCTCCATGTCGAGGAAGGTCTCGTCAAAGTTTTGGGTATCAGACTCGTTGTGGGGATCAATGGGCGGGATATACGGTGGTATGTAGCGTTTGTGATACACATGGGACCAGTCTCTGCAGGCGCAGGCGTGCGTTAGCGCTATCCACTCCTCGTCCGCGACAAGCCAGCACTCACATCATTTGGAAATAAGGATGTTTCTTGATTCTAGGCTCCGCCATCCGCAGAGCAGGATTCCGCTGCAACAACTACACACAAGCAGGTTATCAGCCTCCGTTCATCCCCAATGCCAAACATAACTCACCCCCCTGATCAGGCTCTTCGTATCCTGATCCATAGCCTTATCGTCCGGGAACATAAGCTCGTCCTGGAGCACACGGACATACATGTCCGAGTGGTTATTGGCCCAGAACGGGGTCTACGTCCATCAGCGCCTATCCGAGAACGTCTAAAGGGGGACATACGATACCCGTCAGCATCTCATACAGCATCGTGCCAAAGCTCCACCAGTCGACTTCGTAGCTGTAGGGCAAGGCCTGGATGACCTCAGGCGCAAGATACTCCGCCGTACCGCAGAAGGTGCTCGTAAGATCCCGGTCCTTCTTCCCCCCACTCCAGAACCCTCCGTCCGCATACCCGTTCCCCTGCCAGAGGGCGCTGGTGGAGCGAGGCGGTGTGCCCGGGGCAGAGTAGAGCGCACCGTTAGCCGGGGGCAGAGCGGCGCGTTTTGGGAACTCTTTCGAGAGCCCAAAGTCGGTTAGGACGATATGCCCATCTGCGCCGATGAGGATATTCTCCGGCTTCAGGTCCCGGTAGATCACCCCTGCTGCATGTAGGCCCTCGACGCCTTCTACGATCTCGGCGGCGTAGAACCGCGCACGGTCGCGGCCCAGCCTGCCCCAGCGCGCGAGCTGGGTAGCAAGGTCACCACCAGGGTGGAAATCCATGATAAGGAACAGGTGCTCGCGGTCGTGGAAGGACCAGTAGAGCTTGACGACGAATGGGTTTGCCTGATCCCCCGCCGCAGCCATGCGTTTCAACACGGCCTGTTCTGTGAGGGTATGCTGCAGTTCCTGGTGCGCAAGCACATGCCGCTTCGTTATCGCCTTCAAGGCGTAGAGCGTGCCAGACGCGCGGTACTTGACGAGGAGGACCTTGCCCGCACAGCCCTTCCCAAGCACGCGAAGCATCTCAAAGTCCTCTATGCGGATCTTGCGGCCCTTACCGCGTTTCTTCATCTTGTCGCCCTTCTTCTCCTCAGCACCGGAGAAGAGCTCGTCCGCAGCAGCAGAAGCTCCGGCATCAGTAGGCTCCTCGTCCTCCTCAGTCTCGGCGATATCCGTCTCGCTCGGCTGGTGCGACAGGCCCCGCTTCCACATACGTTCTTTCTGCGCAGCGGTGTCCGGGTCTGCTGATGCCGGGCGTGGGGGAAGGCTCGCATGCGGGAAATCAGGGACAGGGACGTGCGTTGCCGGTGCTGGCTTGACCTTTGGCGTAGCAGGGGGAGTGAACGTCAGAGGCCGAGTGGCGATCGTAGGCGTGTGCGATGCGTCCGGAGGGGGGAGGATGCTAGCCGAGGGTGACTCGGCAGGAGGGGAGAGAGGCTGCGGTTGGGGGGAGACAATCTCCGTTGCCAGAGTCGAGAGAGGGAGGAAGACCCCTGCGTCCGCTTCTGCCCTCCTCTCAGTAGTAGGGGAGACTTCCACAACCGTCTCAAGCCCATCTTGCGTTTCTGCAGACAACGCCGTCTCCAGCGTGACGACTTGCTGTACCGGTTCAGGTTCAGGCTCCTTCTCCGCTTCAGGAGCCTTCTCCCTCCTCTCGACAAACTTTGTGTTCTCGTCTCTCAGATCCTCATCCTCACTCTCCTCCATCATCTCCTTGAGCCCCTTGCCAGGAGGGGCCGTCTTGCTCGCGCTAACACCCACAAGGCTAGCATTGACGCTGCTTCCCAAGCCTCCGAGACCCGTCTTGCGCGCAATATGCGCCGCTAGGTCGGAGCGCGTCCTCCGCACCCTCCGCTCCACGCGGCGACTCTCGAGGTCCTCCGTCCTCACACGGACAAACCTTCGCCAAGGCTTGGCCGTGCGCACGCGAGGGTCGTTTGACAGCGTCGTGAGATACTGCGCCACTGCGGTGGGGTCGGGAAGCGGTTCGCCCGAGGATTGGGACTTGAGCTGACGCGCACGGGAGCCAAAGGACGTAGGAGTGGCGTTTCGCGATGGGGAGACGAGGCGGGATACGGTGGTGAGGAAGGAACGTTTGCGCGGGGTGGGTGATATGGGGAGTGTACTGCCAGTGACATGGAGAGGGGAAGCAGGGAGCTTTATGCCTGGGAGGGTTGCTGAGAGCTTTAGGTGCATATACGTGAGCCAGGATCGGGATAGGGGACAGGAGCGCACCTTTACTTCCAATTCCTGTATTTCTGCGACCGCGCGTGTTAATGTCAGATGGTGTGTAGGGGCTGGATGATAGGATGTTACGATGAAGGCGGTGCAAGAAGCAAAAGAGAAGCAGACTTGGTCAGGACGATCAGAGGAGTGTAGAGGGAGAAAACGCACTTTTGACATAGATGGTGTATGCGCCGCCCTCTGCGCCCTTGGCCTCTGCGACGCTTACTGTCCATATGCCGTCCTCGATGGCGGGGGCGATGACGATGGACGGTGGAGCGCCGTTTGCCTTTGTGCTCGGAAGGGTGCTGGGCTGCTGAACAGGAAGCCATTTCTTGCTCGTCGTGTCCGCTGTGGGTCTCCTCCCTGGAGGGGGGGTAGATGGCCTTGTAGAGGGAGCAGTAGATGTAGGAGCGGGGGATGTGCCCTCCTCGTCTGCGTCCCCGCTACTGCTCGGGGAGAGGAATGGTGCTGTGGGAGGGAGAGTGTCAACCCCGTTTTGAGGATTGATCGATTGTTGTTTCTGCGCACCCTCGACGTCAAATACGCCCAGTTCTTCTATCTGTATTGGAGGGAGTTGTGGAGGAGAAGAGGGAGCTCTGGGAGGGGGCGACTGGACGCCTGGCATGGCGTTGTGGATGGTGGTGGTGGTGGTGATGATGATGGTGGTTGAGGTGAAGGACGAAAGAGGGTAATGTAAGGGGAGTAAACGGGGATGGGTGAGTGGCTGATGGTGGACAGCGAGGGGAGTGGGTTAGGTGAGGTGAGGTGTGGCTGACGATAACACGGCTGTATGCGTGGATGCAATGAGGCGAAAACCGGGTGATGAAGAGGTGAGGTGGGTAAGAAGTAATGAGAAAAGTAAGTGGTGAACGAGTGAGTGTAAAAAATCACAGAATCGTTTTGCCCGTTACAATCATCCCCCCTTCTCTCCCCCTTCCTCCCTCTCAGTGGCAGTACTCAATCCGACACCACCGCAATTCACATAAATCGTAATCATTTCGCTCTTTCATACCTTTATCCGAACATTAACCACAATCCCTCATCCTCTCCTATCCATCACCGCCTTACATCCCATACCTCACCCCAGACACCGCCCACAAAACCCAGACACAGACCAGCAGACACTGGGTCCGCCTGGCCCTAGTGGCTGTCCCCGTCCCCCAGCTTCCAGACTCAGTGGAGGCCCCAGACCCTCACGCCTCAGACTCACTGCCCGCGCTATCCAGACCCGGACCCATCTTCCGACACACTGAATCCCTTCCACAGTACTGGTCCGAACCAACTGAACTGAACCGCAAGCACACGCCCCTGCCCTGGACTGAACATCCCCTCCCATGCTTATCTTCCCTCGCGCATCAAACCTATGTATATCATTCATTCCCCTACTTAATCCCCCAGCCAGCTAGCCAATCCAGCCAGGCCAGAGTCCAGGCCTAGCAGAACCTGATACATATATATGACAGCTGAACTTTCCCGATTCCTTGTATCTGGGATAAGCTCTCCCACCCGGGATCACACGAACCCGACCAACCCCAAATTCCAGTTGGTATGACAAGGGCGTAGCCCTGACGTGCGTCACCTTCACTACATGCCTTATGACAACGTTCGCTCTTTCGATGTTATCATTCACCCAGAGCCAGGCATATCGTCGTACAGGGGGGTGCTTATCATATCATATCATCGTTGTCGCAATTGTCCAACTTTACTCGTAAGACTTCTGCGTTATGCGATACACGGGCTACACGGGCTTGGCACGCTCGATCAGACCGGACTTCCTTTCTTTCTTTCCCCGAAAGGCGCTCAACCCCGCCCTCGTCCAAGCTCTCTAACAAGAACCCAGAACGCAGAACACGCTCGAGCACAAACAGGCCGACTTCTCGCACACTCACACTTTCAGCCTCACTCTCATTCTCACTCTCATACGAACCTGAACATGAACACAAGCAGACCACACCCCGCGCGCAAACCCGAGCCACGCTTAACACTCGCAATCGCTAGCAAACCGATCTAGCCAGTTACAGCATCATACCCCTTCCCCGGGTCTGTCCCCTACCCCTGCTCCCTACCCCGTGCCCTACCCCATCCCCTCCTCCGCACAGCAGACCTCCCGGCCCGTCACCTCTCCTTCTCCCGAAAACAAAATCACTCCCTCCAATACCCCGTGCCCTCAACAAGTATGAGACATGCAGCTGCAGATGCAGCTGCGTCATGCGTCATGCCCTTGTATACGAACTAAGTATTGAGTTGTCCTCCTATCTACCTTAAGGAACCCGACCCCGACCCCCGCACAGAAGGCGGAAAGCCATATCCGTCCCTCGTCCTTCCCTCCATCTCACCCAACACGCGCAACACGCCCAAACCTCGCGCGATCTTCCGGGGAACAACATTCACCCTCAGGCTGTCTGCTAACTTAGGAATGGGATAGGACGACTGTTGGCATGTAGTAGAGAGGTGCGCGTCAATACGCGCACCTGCAGGTACTGTAACCTGCTTACATAAGCTAGGGATCGGACGGATAGTGCAAACTTTTCAGTCCGGACTTATGCATCTTGTTTACTGCCCAATACCTGCCTACAGGTTATGAGCCCTGCCTCAACAAGATCACTCTAAGCTTAACTTACTACCAGCTGCAGGATTGTGGACATACTGCATACATGACCTGCCTGCCTTTTGAATTTTCTCTTGGACTTGGACTTGGACTTCAAATATAGAAGAATCGGCACTCACCTGGCATCCACCCCCCTACTCTCTGCTTTGGGAATCACTGGGGCTCGAATCACAGCTGATCACCTTCGATATCAGTTAGCAACACTTCAAACAGCCCAGTGATGTCACACATACTCCCCTCAAGCATTTGGGCTGCACCATCATCTACCCTTCACTTTGATATGCTCAATGCAGACAACTGGTACCCATGGAAGAGATGCATGCAAGCACTACTAAGAGAGCACAATCTCCTCAGCCATGTTGATGGCAGCATACCAAGACCAGAACCAGCAGGGACAGATGGGGCTTCAGCAGAGGAGATAGAGAGGATGAGAGAGTGGGATGAGATAGATGTGAGGGCACAGAACCAGATTGAGCTGTGTGTGGGAGATATGGAGATGGTGTACCTTATTGGGGCATAGACAGCAGGACAAATGTGGTCCCAGCTGATCATGGTCAAGGAGTCAAGGGGTGAGCTGGGGGTTATGGCAATTCAACATCAAATGTATCATATGTAAGCTGTGGATGGATTTGATATGGTTACACACATCACTGAGATGCAAAAACTACAAGAACAACTCCACCTGCAAGGCAAGATCATCCCAGATAAGCTATTCACCAACCTCCTCACTATGTCTCTCCTTGAAACATGGGACACCATCACCCAATCACTTCTTGGTGCATGTACTGGCTGGGTGCCAATGACATCCCATGAGCTTGTCTCACTACTCTTGGAAGAGGCAAATCGTCACAAGGAACAAGAATCCACAGGAGATCTTACCCTCCAAGGACATGAGAAGAACCATGGCACATGAGCACACACAAGCAATATTATCTGTGATAACTGCAAGAAGCCAGGTGTCAGGGCACCAGCTCATTGCTTGGTCAAGAGACATGACTAAGCCTTTATGACATGGAAGTAGCTGGTATACCTTGGCATGTGCTGGAACCTGCTGGAAGGATTGGATGGTCAGGTGACCTGCTGTGCATGGCTGTGCATGACCTCATATGACCTCATCCTTGGTCATATGACCTGATCACCTGACTAGGCTGAGTAAGCAAGATGTTCTAGCAGGTTCCACCACAGAGGTATAAATATAAGGCCTACTCTGCCTGGGGACTGTCTCTTCAGACTTGGTCTCTTAGGATCATCCACAGGTACCTATACTGTAGATAGGTCTTAGTCATCAGGTCTACTCCACTTCCTTGTTGCCTGCTTAGACTCTTGGCACTCTTAGGTGAGCAGACTTAGTCAGCCTGTGTTGCCCTAACAGAAGACCAAGTCTCCAAGTGACAACCTCTGTTTCACCACTCCACCTCTACTCCCTGCCAAGAATGCCTGACTCACTGGA